TAATTACTACCCAGTCTCCTCTGCCGTGAAATTGTTCGCAGTTGCAATGAGCCTGAGATCGCTAAAACGGCTGAATCCTCAACCATGCACAGTGTCGGACATGCAAACCATGAGAGCCTCATTTGTAAGCATTCCCCAATATGACCATCATGTTCCGACTGCCCCTGCTAAATAGAGCTAGTGGCTCGCGGACTGCTGCCGGCACAATTATCCGGCTGCCATCCGCAAAAACGATCCATCCACTGCGGCTCACCGACCGCATCTCCATCATCCTTGAAATCCTCCGCTCTCCGCAACTCCAAGGCTGCTGCGTCTGGAGGGCAGCGCATCTGCAAGGACTGAAGGGATCCTGAACTCTCCATGGGAGTTGCATGCATGGAATCGAGTCGAGGCGGCTCCTTCAAGCCCGCGCCAATCACCGTCAGCAGGGTCTGGTTGACGCTGGCGGCAGGCCTCCAGAACTTGCCAAAGGCAAGCAGCTGCCCCTAGGTGATGTTGCCACATCATTGCATGTTCGTGCGCAAGTATCAATGCATGTGAGGCATGCCTCGGGCTGTACGGAAAGTGCTCGCTAGCTAAGCCTAAAATTGAGAAAACAACATCGCTAAAACGTAAACTCAGCCGTTTTACTGCTTGAGCACAAAGTCTTATCTGTCCATTTTGCAAGGGGGGTCCATCTCCTTGCCCAAGGCAACAAAGCACTGAATCTGCGATGGGTTGCAAGATCTGACATTCAAAGACAAAAGCACCGGAACAACGCTGGGCTCCTGCCAAACCCGGAGTCCTGGGAGCCCCGGCAAGCCCCCTGACACACGCCCAACGCAAATGAGCGCGTTGGTACGTATAGATGCCTCCGGATCCTGGCTATGCGAAGCAAGGGCTGGCCAAAACTATGGATGTCTCGGTATACTGAATTAACATCAAAATTGCGTTCAAAAGCTGCACGTCGTCCTGCATCATCTTCACGAGCAACTTCAGCACGCGGCTCTCCACGGTCTTTGGCTTCAAGCGCGGGACGAAGAAGATCATAGACCTAGCAGACAGAATGAAAGACTCAAATTGTCAGAATTGCAGCGATTCCAATGCGAGCCCTCCAGGAGACATTGTTTGCGCGAGCAATCTGAGACCCACACCTCACTGTGGCCTGGTGCAAAATGAAGGCTGTGCATACATTATTCATGTTTGCATATGTATATATATATATGTATAGTAGCTTCCATAATTCAGGTTTCTGTTTCACAAACGCAGCAAAGTGGGAAAACGTAAAGCCCAACTGCAGGATTTGTGTCTCGGGTCTCGCAGTTGTTGTATGTACTTTTGCCCAGCAAAGATTAAGAGGGTTAGAAAAACACTTTTCCCCAGTTGAAGCAAACAAATAAAGAAGGTGAACTGGTTCAAACCAGCAAAAGTAAAAAGGAACAGAGAGCAGCTTCTGAGTTTTCTTGTCCACTGTCACTGGGAAAGTAAACAAGTAACAAAGGAAGACAAACAAAGACGGTTGGACCCATGAAAAGTAAACAGCATAACAAACAGCCTGAAGCAAAGAAAAGTCGTGCTTTTACTGGGAAAAAGGTAACAAATAAACTGCCAGCTGGGTTTACTTTTTGCCATCTAGTTGTTGCTTTTCCCCGAGTCCAAACTGTGTAATTGTTGCGTGGTTTTACGCTTCCAGCAGAACACACAAAGCAAGTAAAACTGTCAGAAATGTCACAGGCATCATGTTCTTTTGCTGCTTCACTGTGTACTTGTCATGGGTCCAAGCGGCTTGCTGATTGACTTGTCTACTTTCACTGGGAAAAAGACAACAATGCTGGAAGGAAAAAGGTCTTATTCATTGTAGTGTAGTTTAATGTTGCGTCACATGTCCGCTCTACAAGACGGAAAACCAAAATGGTCTATTTCCAAGTTGGGGACAGCAATGCTAAACCAACACTAAACCAATGTTGAACTGATGCGATAACTAGACTGAAGCAAGCCTGCTACTAAGAACTCCTGCGACTAGGAACACAACAATGAACCGATGCAAAACAGAGTCCAGAATAGAAACAGCATTGCTCAAACTAATACTTATACTAAATTTAAAGTAAAATAGTTCAGCAATATTACTGCTAATACATGCTAAAGTACTACTAGACCGAGACTGAGTTCATAAAAGCCTGTTCCGGAGCTGCTGGTGGAAGACCCACGCATTGCACTCATATACCTGTATGTTTATATGTTTGTATATTGCAGTGGTCACTTGCCAAGACTCCACTGACTGACTGCAGGTTCAGCAAATTTTGACAGCTCCGCAGCTGCAAATCCAAAAGAAAAAATCCAGAGAACAGTATGTTTGTCCATTCATCCTCATTTGCAAATCCACCTCCCAAAAACGAGTTGCTCCTGTCTTGCAAATGCAGCAATCCACATGCAAACTCACACCCGTGCTTCCTTGGGGGAATATGTTTGTATACATATAGATATATATATATATATGCATGTATGCATGCATATGGTACCCCCCCCCCCAAAAAAAAAAAAAAAAAGAAAAACAACATGATAAAATAAGGAACAAGAAAAACTAGATGTTTCATTGTACAACAGCGAAATACGGAAAACAACTGCAAAAGTCCTGCAACAATGAACATGTGTGGTTGCCTACAGTAGCATGGTTCTGCAAAATCAACACAAACTCCAAGCCACAATGAATTACTTTTCTAGTCTGTATCCAGCAAAACTAAACCGTTTGTAGTACATCCACAAAAGTTCCGCGAAGGGGGCTCTTTCTTTTTTCTGCGCGAAAGCTTTGTGTGGGGGTGGCTTGCTACCAGGAAGCTGGAATGATGCACCATGTGTATTTGCCGGCAGCGCACGCAGAATGCACACAGACTAAAGTTGGTCGGGGAAAGCACGGCCTGAGGGTTGCCGCAAAATTACGCCGCTGCAAGAGTACCCCCCAACAGAAGTCAGCTTGTGGAAGTTTTGAAACTGTCAGATCAAGTTGAGTGCAACTTTCAAGCCGGAGTTTTGCGAATGTTTGGCGTACGATCCTGGGAAAAGTAACAAACGTAAATCTGCCTGAAGTACAACAAGTTCTTTTTAGGGAGCTTCACTTGTTTGCTTTTTTGTGGGCCCATACGCGTTGTTCAGTACAAGTTAAATAATAAAATAGTCGATCTTTTGGAGCCATGAACAGTAAAGAGTGAAACTTCCTGAAGTAGGTCAACACTAAGACCAAAAGGTCTTCCCCGTCATATCTCAATACAAGGACATTTCGGATGACTCGCACATGTGTGTATATATATATATATAGACACATGCATGTGTGTGTGTGTGTGTGTGTGCGTGCGTGCGTGCGTGCGTGCGTGCGTGCGTGCGTGCGTGCGTGCGTGCGTGCGTGCGTGCGTGCGTGCGTGCGTGCGTGCGTGCGTGCGTGCGTGCGTGCGTGCGTGCGTGCGTGCGTGCGTGCGTGCGTGCGTGCGTGCGTGCGTGCGTGCGTGCGTGCGTGCGTGCGTGCGTGCGTGCGTGCGTGCGTGCGTGCGTGCGTGCGTGCGTGCGTGCGTGCGTGCGTGCGTGCGTGCGTGCGTGCGTGCGTGCGTGCGTGCGTGCGTGCGTGCGTGCGTGCGTGCGTGCGTGCGTGCGTGCGTGCGTGCGTGCGTGCGTGCGTGCGTGCGTGCGTGCGTGCGTGCGTGCGTACGTGCGTGCGTGCGTGCGTGCGTGCGTGCGTGCGTGCGTGCGTGCGTGCGTGCGTGCGTGCGTGGACGTGCGTGCGTGCGTGCGTGCGTGCGTGCGTGCGTGCGTGCGTGCGTGCGTGCGTGCGTGCGTGCGTGCGTGCGTGCGTGCGTGCGTGCGTGCGTGCGTGCGTGCGTGCGTGCGTGCGGCGTGCGTGCGTGCGTGCGTGCGTGCGTGCGTGCGTGCGTGCGTGCGTGCGTGCGTGCGTGCGTGCGTGCGTGCGTGCGTGCGTGCGTGCGTGCGTGCGTGCGTGCGTGCGTGCGTGCGTGCGTGCGTGCGTGCGTGCGTGCGTGCGTGCGTGCGTAAGTGCGTGCGTGCGTGCGTGCGTGCGTGCGTGCGTGCGTGCGTGCGTGCGTGCGTGCGTGCGTGCGTGCGTGCGTGCGTGCGTGCGTGCGTGCGTGCGTGCGTGCGTGCGTGCGCGCGTGTGCGCGTGTGCGCGTGTGCGCGTGTGCGCGTGTGCGCGTGTGCGCGTGTGCGCGTGTGCGCGTGTGCGCGTGTGCGCGTGTGCGCATGTGCGCGTGTGCGCGTGTGCGCGTGTGCGCGTGTGCGCGTGTGCGCGTGTGCGCGTGTGCGCGTGTGCGCGTGTGCGCGTGTACGCGTGTGCGCGTGTGCGCGTGTGCGCGTGTGCGCGTGTGCGCGTGTGCGCGTGTGCGCGTGTGCGCGTGTGCGCGTGTGCGCGTGTGCGCGTGTGCGCGTGTGCGCGTGTGCGCGTGTGCGCGTGTGCGCGTGTGCGCGTGTGCGCGTGTGCGCGTGTGCGCGTGTGCGCGTGTGCGCGTGTGCGCGTGTGCGCGTGGGCGCGTGTGCGCGTGTGCGCGTGTGCGCGTGTGCGCGTGTGCGCGTGTGCGCGTGTGTGCGTGTGTGCGTGTGTGCGTGTGTGCGTGTGTGCGTGTGTGCGTGTGTGCGTGTGTGCGTGTGTGCGTGTGTGCGTGTGTGCGCGTGTGTGCGTGTGTGCGTGTGTGCGTTTGTGCGTGTGTGCGTGTGTGCGTGTGTGCGTGTGTGCGTGTGTGCGTGTGTGCGTGTGTGCGTGTGTGCGTGTGTGCGTGTGTGCGTGTGTGCGTGTGTGCGTGTGTGCGTGTGTGCGTGTGTGCGTGTGTGCGTGTGTGCGTGTGTGCGGGTGTGCGTGTGTGCGGGTGTGCGTGTGTGCGTGTGTGCGTGTGTGCGTGTGTGCGTGTGTGCGTGTGTGCGTGTGTGCGTGTGTGCGTGTGTGCGTGTGTGCGTGTGTGCGTGTGTGCGTGTGTGCGTGTGTGCGTGTGTGCGTGTGTGCGTGCTGCGTGCGGCGTGCGTGCGTGCGCGCGTGCTGCGCGCGTATGCGTGCGTGCGTGCGAGCCCGCGTTGCGCGGCGTGTGCGCGTCGCGCGTGCGCGTGCGCAGCGCGTGCGCGTGCGCCGTGCGCGTGAGCGGGCGCGTAGCGCGTGCGCGGCGCTGCGCGTGCGCGTGCGCGTGCGAGTGCGGCGTGCAGCGTGCGCTGCGCGTGCCTGCGCAGCGCGGCGCGTGCGCGTGCGCGTGCGTGTTTGTGTGCGTGCGCGTGCGCGTGCGCGTGCGCGTGCGTGCGCGTGCGCGTGCGCGTGCGCGTGCGTGTGTGTGTGTGTGTGTGTGTGTGTGTGGGTGTGTGTGTGTGTGTGTGTGTGTGTGTGTGTGTGTGTGTGTGTGTGTGTGTGTGTGTGTGTGTGTGTGTGTGTGTGTGTGTGTGTGTGTGCATGTACATAGATACATACGTGTATATACATATATATATATATATAAACAATATACATATAAATATGTATATATATCATGTGCATACACATAGCGCCAACCTAGCGCCGAGCTAGCGCGAAGCTAGCGCTGCCAGTGGGATTTGCATCATTTAGGCGGGCCTTGCTCCCACAAACGGCCCTTTCGCCGCGAAAAACTCAAATCTTTCGCGCACCCAGCGCGGAGCTGTTTTGACGCCACCTTGTTGGCAACTGAGCATGTGGAGATAGCCACTCCTCTGTTTATTGTGCTGTGTGGCGCCAATCGCTGCATTACCTTTCCCGCAGGCTTGCTGTAGTCTTCCAAAAGTCTTCACTCAGTCTTTTTGTAGCCTTCCCATAGATAGATATAGATGGCAGACTGGGCTCCACGGGCCAGCAACGCCCGGAAAGGGGGGGACAAGGTCCATGGGTGCGAAACTTTTGCGGATCGTAAGCCAGACTTCGCGTAAAAATCGGCTTTTGCAACTAGGCCCGAGAGTTTCTTGCCACTTCAAACTACAGAGAACCATGGAGCAACCGCCATGATCCGCCATGCATGTGTAGCGAGGCGACCACCAACAAAAAAAACAAAAAAAACGACACCAAAAATATGGTCATTCACAACATCATCAGTTCAAAGAAATTACGTCGCAAACAAGTCCCCTTTTGCATGTCCGTGACAAAGGTCCCCTACATAAACACTTTCGGGAGAAAAGCATCTACTTTGCGGACCGGATCGCGAAACTTTTGCAGACACTGAAACAATTGATCTAGAGGCCATCGCATATATAAACATCGATATATCTCTGTGTGCCAGCTGTGAATGTGCCCTTCGCCTCCCGGATAGGCCCATTCGAATCAGTGAAGCCATTGACCTCAGCGTCTTGTAGTCTTGGAGAGATCAGTACTGGTAAACAGAGCCGAACTCGTCCACAGTGCGGGGCTGAGGTTCTGACACATTCAGGAAAGATCTTGTCATTGATCATGGCATCATCCTAAAGTAGAGTTGTCTGCAAAGAAAGCGCATCCGTCGGTGCTGAGGAGCCGGCCAAGAATTCGATCATATCGCCCAAGGAAGTCAGCCTCATCAAACTTCTTGGAAGGACAAGAACAATTATTCGGACAGAGCTATGCAATCGAAGAAGCTGAAGGGCTTCACGAAGCCAGGCTCTTAGCCACCAGCAATCTGAAACGGATGGTGCGGTCGGGCGCAGCAAACAATTGTGCCTGCCAGCTCCACCTTCACATGAAGGGAAGAGCATGGTGATCTCTGACAAATCGCGCCCCAGAATAGCACAAGCTCGCTCATCAACTCGTTGTTGGACATGTGGCGACAAGAGACTGACCGAAATTTGAAATGTTTGAGGCTCAAGTTCCAGCCATTTTGTTTCCAGCCGTAGAAACCTCCACACCACCCGAGCTTCGAATGAGTGGTCCAGTATATACAGCTCCAAACCGCAGTCCCGAAGTCTGCCAGCTTCGCCACAAGCGGTGCCACCTTTTCTCGGAACCTTGGCAACTGAACCGATCGCAAGACCCTATTTGATTTCGCGCAGCTACAATCAACAGTCATGCTGCGAGCTCGTTCATTTGACATGACCGCCTTAGGATCTGAGGTTTAAGAAACTCAAACCGCAAGCCTCTGCAATCTCAGCAAACCTACTACTGTACCAGTTCAAATATTATCATGCAAAATCCAGTTTATCATTTTGAAAACGTATCATCACGACACATCGACCTTTGACTGAACATTACCCAATCGATGAGTACTTTGGCGGTCGCGGTCTGCACAGCAGTTGCATAACATGCATCTGTTTGGTTGAAACCTCTGAACTCCACAACAAATTCCTTCTGAGATCTGCGCAACTTTGTGCTGACTTGCATGCTCGCGTCTTGCTTGTTTGTCATGGTCATTCTGAGTTCCAAGCTGTTCTTCCGTCAACTTGACACCAATCTTCAGAATTGACGGCAGTAAGTGAGCAGCCTGGAAAGTGCAAACTTGTGTGATTTGGAGCTCATCTGATGGGCTTGCTAGCCACAAAGCCACCAAGCCATACATTCTTTCAAGTGTACGCAACCGGTCCCACAATCTACATATTCAGACGGAGTCTAGCCTGGCCTCCTGTCCTGGGAAACGCTGGGCTGTCAAGAGTTCTGGCAGCACCTGCAAACCATGCCAACTCTGATGAACATGTCATCCAACCCTATCGCAACTTGAAATGGCAACTTGAATCTCTCAACTTCGCCTGGCGCTTCTTCACTCCCTCGGACAGGCCCTCCAGAAGCTGCGGGAGTCCTCAAGGCAAGGGATTCGAGGATTCCTCGTCCACCACGGTGGCCTTCTGTGAAGAAGGTTTTAGCCTTTGCCTTTGATGGGGTTTTGGACAGGGGTTGAGGGAGCCGTGCCACACTCCCATACGTTGACCTTTCTTGGGCAAGTGGATGTTGCAAGGACTTGGCACAAGTCTGGCACAAAAAGTGCAATGCCTTCGCGCATGCCAGACAAATGCAGATGCAACTCCTTCAAAAAATGCCTCTTTCTCCTCTGGAGACCTGAAGCATACAGGATGCCCGAGGCAGGCGAATGAAGTACAGCCCTGCCACACTCTGAGAATGGTGCTTGAGCTGCAAGTTGGACAGAAACGAAAATACCTGAGAGGCAAGTTGGGTGCTCTCACAGCAGGGGTCTGCTTCACTGTGTTCCCTTCGCTATCATGATTCAACAATCGGCTCCACACAACTCAGGGCATGTCGAAGCGAATCCATCCCCAGCCATGTTAAAACATGGTCAGAGTGCCGGCAGAACTGGAAAGGTGTCAAACAGGTACCGGCACAGGGGATTGTGTCGCTCACGTTGCGGGGCGCACCTGCACCGCTGGGTGCTGCTGGAAGAAGCCCAGGGCCATTATGTCGGCCAGGGGGCTGCGCCTGTGCATGTGAGTGGCCGCTTGAAGGTAGGGCAAACGGGGCAAGCTCGAACATGTGAAAGGCACCGCGTCTTTGAAATTGACTGACTTCACAATTTGAGTCCATTCTAAAGCATGAAGTGTGCAAGGCAACGACCCCGGCCGCGCAAAGAAAAAAGCATGCTCAACATCCCGGCCCTCTCAGCGGTTTGGGGTTCTCCAACTCCATGAACGCCTTGCGCAAGTCCAAAGGAATCTCCTTGCAAGCGACAGGAATTGCAAGTCTTGACTACAACCGCCATAGTAAAATGCCAGATTCCGCATTGTTGTTTCTCCTAGTAAGAGCTGTGGGGCTCAAAATATGCTGGAATCACTGCGCCAGAAACTGTCTGCACGCACTCCGCTTGGGCTCCTTTTCCACCTGCCGTAGATCCAGTTGCATGCGAGCCCTTGGGCTAGCAAACACCTGAGCAGCGGTGTCGACTATGGGAGGGTGCCTCTGTGGAAAGCTGCCCTTCATTCTTTGCCTGTTCATGCCTGGTAAACAAAGTGTGCGTCTCTCACCAAGCATCAAACTAGACTCTGTGGACCATCGTAATGGTTCTAACCTCTAATAACCCGGTTTCCATGGATGAGCTGTGACAAGGGCCTGTCTCTCCCTCTCTAAGTTTCAGGCAAAGGCCATCAGCACTGCTGCGCCCCACATATCGATGCCTGTCATAGCTCTCAAGAAAGGGAGGTGATCCCGTTGTTCGAGGTGTCACAGACTGCCCGAGGGCCCATCAGATCATACAAGGCAAGTCTGCGCAAGCCAGCAAGTGCCAGGCTCTGTGTCATACCCTTTGGAACTAGCAACAGATCACTGCGTCAAACCGCAAGAGCCTACTGAAGGCATGCCACCATTCTGCATCGCGGAGGGAGGCTCCGGCAACCTGATGAAGCAGCTTTGGCAACCAACTTTTCTTGGCGGCACATGAAGGATGATGTTTATCACAGGAGTGGCAGAAGGCCTTTGAGAGTGACATGAAATGAGAACTACACAGCGCAGGCTGCAAATGAATCAATAGGCGACATACCATAGAGGGCAGCAGGTGAAAAGCTAGCTTTGTGAGGAGCAGGCTCGACATGCGCAAACAACAACAGGCCAAGGCTCACGCGTATTAGCATCAATTGCTAAAACGGTCAAAATTAAGAAGAGTGCGCTCACCGCGCAGCACTGCGCACACACCACGGATTCAACGCGCTCCTTTCTCTTGCCCTGCTTGCAGTCCGCTGACAAAACTTTATACTTGCATGTGATTTGCCAGCCTGTAATATTGCTTGCGCGGCCGTTATGCGCCTGCATCGAAACAACCTTAACGTTTGTCTACAATCGTTCAGCCAAAGTAATCATGGGACCTGCAAGGCTGTTTGGCCACGGAACTGCGCCTAAGAGCCGCGCCCTGATGAATTCGGCCCTACCCGGCGGCGCGCGGCGATGGCACTTCCTGAGCAAGGACAAGGCCCTCTCCGTGCCGCCTGTGCCAAGGGAAACTGGCATTTTGGCCGTGTCGCAGCTGAGCACCTGACCTGTGTCCAGGCCCTTCTGGCAAAGCTCGAAGCTGCCTATCCTGCCAGGATGGCGCGCTTACTGCCGCATATGCCCCGTGCTCCGCCCTCGCCTGTAGTCGCCCTGGTTGGTCACCCAGATCGCCAGTGGGCCAAAGAGGCCATGAGTGAAGCCACTCGAGTGCAAAAAGCTCAATCCATCCAGCGCCTCAAACGAGGCCATGTCTGCATTGACCCCTGATGAACATAACGTCCTTGGTGCCCATTCTGTTCACTTGCCAAAGGCTCGACACAGTGCACATGCACGAGGGATGTTGCCGGATGTTTATTCAATATTTGCCAGCAAGCCCGTCATGTCTTGCTCAAATTTGACTATGCTTTGCCCATTAAATGCCAGTAGCTGCATACCAGCTGGGAGCGAAGCATACTAGCTCCAAAACCAGTTTCTCGCCCCCCAACTGCATGCCAGGCCGCCTGAAACAGGCCCCATATGGCTGGGCCATCGTCGTCGCCTTGGCCAAAATGGCGAACAGCATTGCCTTGCCAGACCCATGTGGCAGTAACAGGGGAAAGATCTATCACAACCTCCCCATCAAAGATACCGAAACATGCAGTGGAAGGGATGTAGTAGCTGCCTGGGCCATCCCCTAACTACTGGCTAATTAGCTCTACAGAACCTTTTGCGATGCATAGCATTGACTGCAGTGAAGCTCCGTTGGACTTAATCCTCTCTCTACAGTCGCTTTCGACATGGAGCCTTCGGCAGCTGCCGCCGTAACCAGCGGCACGACCTGACCAGCCCGCTACACTTAAAGCCAGCACTGATGAGGACTGTGCAAAAGGCCGCTCTCAGACATTGCGACAATGTGGATCACTCAAGCTATCATCGGAATGGAGCCGCAGCCTCCTCCGTAACAATGTACACGCCACCTGGCTCCAGTCAATCGGGCTGCTGTCACGTGCTCGCAGAATTAGATCATTGCAAACTGACCTGGCAGCTGAACATTCGACTGTTGAATGGCTGCCCAGCCTTCAGTCTCAATTGAGTTGAAGGCTCTCAAGATGTTAGGGTGCCTGGGCAACGCTCTACGGTCAGCGAGAGGCCTGACCAAATCGCGATCCAAATGCTTGAGCTCAGAGGGCGGGATGCGCTTGATTAACATGGTGCCGTGATCCTGTGTCTGCTTGGAGCATGTCTAGCGAGTCTAGCTATGAGATCGCATCAATGCCTCTGCGAGTACTGGTGACATCTCAAGGGCTCAACTCTTCACAGGTGAGCAGCACCCTCGCCTCAAGGTTTTCGAGACCTGCTCTGCATTCTTTGCTGCCATTGCCTGGCGTCTGCAGCTCATTCAAGAATTGCACCCGACAGCTGCAATTTCAAGATTCACAACGGCAGGCACAAGTTGGACAGGGAATTGGCAGCGAGAAGCTGGTAAATGACAGCCTGCCTGTGCAGGATCCAAGTCCTTCTTTGCGCACATGAAGACAGACGCAGAGCTGCCATCGCTCTTCTTCTGACCTGGCGCACATGGCACAGAACCTGCGCCGGCCATGAAATCTTCCAGCTGCAAGTCATGCTCTGAGCTCGGTTTGCGGCAGGCTCACAGCAAGGGATCAGAATGTGCATCTTCCATCTTCTGCATCTTCCATAAGCCCGGTGTTTCCCAGCCTTTGTGCAGCTCCCAATTCCATGAGAACGGGAGCTCCACCTGCCCACGCTTCAGAGCAAGAGGGAGAGAGAAAGAGAGAGAGAGAGAGACAGAGAGACAGAGAGACATAGGGACACACAAACCCAGACACAAATACAAACATGGATGCAAACATACACAGAGAACCATAAGCGAGCCAACAGTTCTGCCTCCAGAGATGCAGGAAAGTTGGCAACCGGAGGGAAAAAATGCAAGGCCACTTGACAAGAACTTCGAGCCTGTGTGTCTTCCAAGTAAAATACGAGGGAAGACTGTCGTTAATAAGTATTGATATATCATGTAACTGCTTGTGGAATACGGGATAACATGCATTTCAAAGTTGTGTGGAATGTTGGATTTGCTGCAACCTGCTGCCATGCTATCCAAGCGGCACTCAAAGAACAAATGAACTCAGCAAACCAACAGACTCTCTTCTATCTTCTCAGCAAGCTTTGACTGGCACTCCCAGCCTTCTCACCGATGGTGTATCCAAAACTGCTTGGAAGTTCTCCCCATCCAACCTACGCAGCCAGAGTGAAGTGGGGTCTCCGAACTGTCAGAACTGCTTGCACCTTTTTGCCTTTGAGTGCTCCAATGCATCAACAAATTGTAGACATTTCAGCCAGCGTGCAGATCAGCGTATCCCAGGCAGTATTCTTAGAGCACGCTGGGGTGTCACGAAAAACTGTGAAAGCTATGAAGAAGTGGCCATTTGCGCAAGTCGCTCCACAAAATAGCAGGCCAGCGAGAATGACAAAACAGCTCACGGATCCCAAAGCGTCGTATCTTCTTCCAGACCACCCTGAGAGTTGTCCTTGCTTTCTTGGGCAAGCGCCTATGACCAGCCGCCACTGCAGCTGATTCGATTTGACACGTTGTACATGGGCACATCAGATTGCGATGTGTGTGCAAACTCTGGCAGGCAGGCCTTGCTCAATAAGGTCTTGAACATGCGCACGCCAGACCTGGGCACCAAAGCCCGTTGCCCAAAACGATCAGGAAGAAAAGCCAATAAGCCAAAGTCAGAGCAACCAAAGCTAGACAAAAGAAAAATCACAAGACCCCGCAAATCTCCGATTGAGGTGCTCCCTACCACTTGTAAACGGTCCATTCGCGTTCATTCTGCAGGCAAGCTGCCTCACATCCACCGGAGATTGGAAGATCTTGGCCCGGGTATAGGCCACCAGAGATGTGGGATGCTGGCTGTGGGCTGTTTCAGGCTGTTGGGAAAGCGTCTCAAGTCAAGACGCGTCGAGGCACATATCAAAAAATGTTAACGCGTGCCGTAACTTGTGCTCAAAAAATGTCCAGCTCGCTAAGCCGTAGATTGACAGGGCAGGGTACACCTCATGGCATTCGCGGGCAAGGATTTCACACATCCCTGCCCGCAGCTTGCACACACAAATGCTTGGTGAGTTGTGGACAAGCCATCATGCCGCCATCTCTTTCTAACGGGAGAATAAGGCTTCTTCATTGCCAGCACACGTGGCAGGTGAGACTTGGCTTCAAATGCTCCCGGCCTAAGCCTCACTTGAAGCCTTGGTCAAGCATCAAATTGGGCACACCAACATCACTTTCTTGGCTTGCCTTTCCGAAGCACGGAACAAAAGAACGGCGACTTGTGGCAACATGGAGGCGCCTTGTCCGGCAAAAGGCGCTCAAAGCAGGGCTGAGAGACCCACTGGGGCCTTTCCCTCTCGCACTTCTTCGCTGGTCCTACCCGACTCTGCGCTTGGATGTGGGTATGTCTTGAATGAGGAACTCCAACTCTGTCAGGTGTTCCCATTTGGGTCCGCTTTTGAGAGGAAAATTGCTGCCGCAGCTGGCGTAGCGAGAAGTCCGGTCTCAACTTCGAGGCTATCCCCTAAGCTGCCAACAGTTCCAACGCGCGGCACCTGGCGGCTTCATCGTCCCCTTGAGAAGCAGCCTGGGTGGAGCGCAAGCGACGCATGGCGTGCACAGTGCTTAAGACCTCCTTGCCCTCCCTGAGTTCATCAGCACGTATTGAAGCTCTCAAGGGAAACCAAAATAAATGGAAAAACTGCCGTGGTAGTACTGATTGATCCTTTCAAAATCAGAATGCCTTGCGAAAAGCCTGGAAGTCCCTTGTATTTGTCAACAGAAACAGAAACACAAGCAAGGAAAACAACGCACAATCTGACCCCAGCCTTCTCAAGCCAATAAGCTGCCTTTTCTTTGTCCTGAATAAAAAGACGGGGTGTTCAAGAAACATGGCTAGCTTCAAGCCCAGGTCCTCTGGTACTCCATCGCCGGCCTCCAACCTCGCGCAATGTGTGTGTGTGTCTCCAGTCGTTGCGGGCGCTCTCAACTCAGTCCAGCGGCATCAAGCCCAAGTTGTACTGAGCATCCACGTGGCCTTGCAAGGCCGCCTGCCGAGCGCGATTCGCGTGCTTGCCTCCTGTTTCTTTCGAAATTTCGTATTCAGCTGTCAGAACAGGGCCTTGGGTTCCTAAACACGCTGGGGCAGGTCTTCTGTATTGGCCCTCTCCTTTTGTGGCATTGAATCAAACACTGACTGAAGCAGCAGCTCTGATATCAGTCGACACCAGTAGCACGTGCACGATCTAACTAAGCTGCCTGTTCGAACCAGTGAGCCGCCCACTCCATGTTCTGATCAACACCTGCAGGCGCACACACCCACAAATAAACTGGCCAAAGTTCCATGCTGATCAATGCCACAAATTGGAGGCAGTATTGACCCTACCGCCGAGTTCTCCCACGCGAAATACACTGCTGCAAAACAATCAAAACACTCCTGTTGAACGTTATGTTGTTCTGCCTTGGCCCGCTAGAAGCATCGTGCCCATGAGGTACTGTGCATCCTGGCAACAAAGGCTGTGTCTGGAATGCAGTGCGGCCAAAGGGCTTCAAGCACTCTTCTGGTTCCCACATGCCTATGCAGTCCTTCAGGCCACTATTAGCCGCCGCAGATGCCCACTCCGCTGCAGTTGACTCATCTTGCTCCAGTCCCGCTCCATAGAGGAACATCCTAAGTGCGGTGCTATAAATGAAGTCATACTGGGACCCACCTTGTTGCACTGGCCGTCTCTTGTGCATTGATTAGCAATCTCATGGTTCTTGCATAAGAGGTGCTTCTACCCATGTCCGTCCGCCATCTACCATCAAGCACCCTGGCCTGGCAATCTGATACTGTGCGCGGCTGTCGCCCTGCTGTGCAGCCTGGTTCAGCCAGTGCGCCTGTCAGTTTGCGACGGACGTGTACATAGCTGGTCTTGCGGCTCAACGAGCCGAGGCAGGAATGTCTGCGTGCTGCTTGGCAGGAAATTAACCAACCAACCAGCTAGGCCCGTTTGAAGGCAGCATCGCTCAACACAAACTACCAGCATTGCGACATTGGGGTCCTGGCAGCCCATGTCAAGTCTTGCGTCTGAAGCTTGATCATGCCAAGAGCATACCTAGGACACACAAGGGAATTGCTGTCATGAGTCTTGTATTCGCCTCACGAGCCCCAGATTATCTTACATGCCTCTCGAGAAAGATGGCCTTCTGCTTTTTGTGTTTTGACGAAATTGGGCAGAGTTCCAGTAAGTTCCCCAAAAAAGTGACGTAGACCCATGTCTTATTTGAAGTAAAAAATAGACTGGCGTATGAGGTGCAGACTGGGCATCGGCCACACCATTGTCCGCGGCTTTCTTCATGTATTTCAGCGCCTTTGGCCGGGGAAATTCATACTCCCAGTGAGTGCTGTGCAAAACAATGCCTAAATGATATGCTGGGCCAAGATTAGGTCATGAAGCTGCCCCAAGACTAAATAACAGTGGAGTGATATGCGGTTGGAGATTCCCGCCCTGCCTTGTCGCCATCACCTGGAAACCCTTCTTGCAGGTTCCTGGCCGTCTGTTTGCGGAGCTGCTCATGGCCCATCAGTCACCGGGCGCATATCATCGGCGTTTGCAGCTGCTAATCAAGTCCGCCAGCAATACGTTGCTGCAAAAAAGTACTGCGCCAAGGGCACTCCTTGATCTGCAGCCTCCATGCATCTCAAGAACACAACTCGGGTTGCACCCAGCAGAAAGGGAAGACACATGCAACATATTGGTAATGTGCTCGATCGCACGAACTTGCTGCAACTGTTCTCCTGCAAGACCCCGCACACAGAAAGTGTTGCCTTCTCCAGCCACCGGGAGCCCTCCTGCATGTCTTGAGGGACCTCGTGCAGCTTCTGCTATCAGAAAGCCCTGATACCAGCATTTCGCTGTGGCACAGTCACAGAAACATAGAGCATGAAAGGTAACAACCTGCAGCCTAGCAACACCGTTGCCGGTGAGCAGCAGCATGCCAAGATTGTACTGCCTGGATGCATGTACAGGCACATTTGCTATGGTTCTACCATCCTTTGTATGATCAACATGGCCACGTCAACCCTTGGGTTGAAAGGTGCAGGGGAGCTGTATATGCCTATTCCGACCGAAATGTGCGCCTCCCGTCAGAGTGCAGCCGCAAAACTCATGCCGGCAGCACCCGTCCTTGTCCCCCTGCTCTGCCGCCTTGAGGAACCAGTCCGCTGCCTCAATTTCACTCGGGAGAGATCTGCAAGCTTGCCAAATTTTGGAGCTTGATTTGAGCACATTGTGCGCAAAATAGCGGTTGGCTTCGAAGGCGCCTACTCCGGTTCCGCCGACACATTCTTTGGATCCCTTGAGATACACAAAGGTCTCGAAACCTGCTAGAATCCTGGCATGCACTCTAGTCTAGCCTGCTCGGGATCTGGGTCGGCAAGGTTGCCTCAGTCAAGCAAGATGAATTGGTTCAAGGGGCATCTAACTTCTCAAAGTCGCATTGCATTGTTTTTTTGCTGATGCACCACACAAAGCTTGCTCGCCTTCCAAGCACATCCGGCCGATAAGGCTCTGCGACTCTGCGTCGCCCCGGGCTGCCGCCTTGGTCGCTGGCTGAATTGCGCGACAGGCTCTGCACTAGTTCTACAGTTCTCCAATTAAGCTTGCCTCAGAATTAGGGACTTGTCCAGCTTGTTGGGTTCCATGAAGGGTTCACAAGTGGTTCACGATCCGATTCAAAGCAACTTTTCCACCAAACAAAGTGCTCTCAACTTGCACCACAGCCTCTTGTTTTCTCATCCCGCTGTACACTGATGCAAGGAAACTGCTGCCCCGCTTCAGCTCGCGTGTCACCCCGCCCGTGATTCTCCAGCCCCGGATACAAGGTGCCTTGTCCTCCCTTGCTCCTTACTTACAGCATGCAATGCCTTGCGGCCTATCAAAAGAGTCTTGCGCTTGAAGACTCTGCACCTTCAATGAAGGACCTCCAAAAAGTGGAGTGAGCCGAGCCCCAAAAAGCAAAATTTACTTGTGGATCATGAAAAGTGGTGTAAACAAACGACCACACAACAGAGAAAATGAAAATACAAGACGGTCACTCAAATGCCAAGAGGTCACACAACAAAGGTGCGAACTCGCCTGCTTCTCACAGGCATCATGGCACGAATTCCTTTTCACCTTCGTCGCAAGACTGGCTGTTCAGCACGACTTCCACTTCCACCGGCTTGACAAGGTTGATGATGAAGTGATCTTGATCAGGGCAGTACTTCACCGTGTACTCGGAGTCTGATAGATCACATCCGTTCTCATTGGTAATGCTAATGGCATTGTTGTTGCTCACAAACTCTGCGCCAGCACATGCCGCTGTTGTGGGCCCTTTCATCGACATGTCCACGACACCCGAAGAGTCTGTGTGGCTGAGCACCTTGATGGAGAACTTTTGGACCAATAGTTGGCCGCCATAGCAAAGTGGAGCCCCCTCTGGGAAGGTGCCTTTGCCAGTGCAGGTGGTGTCAAAGAACCCACGGAGGTTCCCATCAGCCGCCACCAAAAAGGGAGTCGCCAAGAGAAGCAAAAGCGATGCCATTTGGACCTGGGGTTGCGACTGCAGCCTGGGGAGCGATTGAGCAAAAATGGCTGCAAATTGCACCATGTGCTTGTAATCTTGTACTTCTATCAGCGTGGCATCGCCTCCCTGACTTACAACTTTGCCACTGCCTGAAATGGCCGGCACGCCTCCAGCAAGAGCTTCACATCATCCTCCGTCAGCCCGGGGCCTGATTTCCAGTGCCATTGACCCGAGTGCAATCAAGCAAGCATGAAACCGGAATGGACAATCCCCCCGTCTGACCAAATACTGTGGGATTGAGCAGCCCCCCCATGTCCTCAAAGAATATACCATAAACAAAAATCGTCCAAATCATACTGGTGGCTCAAATGAACTCAATGAACTCAAGGGTTTCGTGACATGCAGTTCACTTGCAACCGCACCCGTACATCATTGAAGCAAGCGAGCATCCGAGCATGGTTTTTTCTTTCTTGTCGCTGTGACGAAGATGAAGGAGTCTTTGGCCTTGAAAATTGTGCCAGCCCAAGACGCAGCCAAATGCGCGCACTGACCAATTGCAGCACCAACGCTGCAAGCCCCGAGGCTCGCCGTAGCAGGGTAACAAACTCCATCCCTGGCTCGAAGCAAAGTCCTCCAAAGCCTTTTGGCTCTTTGACAGGCAGTACAGTCATGGCTTGGCCCAAGTCTTAGGCTGGACAATGCCTCGGCCCGCTGGCGCAGGCTTGGGCTTGGCGTTGGACTTGGGCTTGGCTTTGGCCTTGGCACCTGTTTGCAAGGGCTCCAGTTATCTTCCCGATTCGGATAACGTCGGCACCGATGCATCTCTCCAGACTACAAGGGTTCCCCACCCAAAAGTGCTGATCAACGTTGTAAGTTATAGCGTTGGATCTTTGGTTTTCCGCAGAAACCTGCCGAAATAAAGCAACACAACGCCTCTTGCTTCCATCACCCCGTATGCCACGTCTGCCCTGCCTCCTGGCAGCGCTGGGAATTCCTCCACGGGCCGTGCAGTCGCTTTGGCTTTGGCCCAGGCACCCTGAGCACCTGCACCGCAAGGACCGTGTAAAAACTAGAGACCCATCAGAATGGCTTCATGATCCCCGTTTAGGAACCACCCCCAGTCCTCTACTTGGGTTTTCAGTGTGGACGAGACAATGACGTGGGCGTTGCGGCTTTGCCCATTGCTTCGTGGCGACCTGAACTGAGGCTAAGGATCCGCAACCCCTCCGCACCTGGACTGGATCGGCTTGCGCTCAAGCTCGGATAGGCTCCTGAAGTCGCCAGTGGCCAGCAATGGCCAGCAATGGCCAGCCATGGCCAGGAACGGCTGGAATGCATTGGGTGGTTCAGCCTATCTACGTATCCTATCTAACTAATCAAGCTACAAGGAAGTGAGGTTCAGGGGCGAAAATCACTTTGGATCACAGCCAAATTCGAGGATGCCTTGAGTAGTATAGTACCCAAGCACGAAATGTCCTGAATTTGATTGAGGCGGACCAGTGCTGCCCGCGTCCAGGGCTTGCGCTGTAGAAGCTACTGCATGCTGCGCAGCGCTAAGGCGGATGTCGTCATCATCTATGACCTGACATCAGCAGCGTCAATTCAAAAACAAGACCATGCGGTGATGAGTGCCTAGTAGTACTAAGCAGTGCTGTATTATCACATCCTGTCTTGGATGTTAAGGCACGGGCTGTCAAGCCACCGTCATTATAGTTGATCGTTCTACCAGTGGAGTCCAAGTTCTGAGCGTGGGTAAAACGGAAGAGGTGCTGGAAGACAGCAGTGGCCTCTCTCCTCACCGAGTCGCTCCCACTCCCACCGTTCCGCTGAAACAACTCAAAGGCGTCCGCCACCGATGTGTGCCTCTCCTTGGAATAGTGCTCTTTGAGATGGGCATCCAAGGCCACGCAGTCTGCGCGGGAGAGGGGGCTTCGGTTCACCGGGTTGATAAAATCGAAGGAGCTCAGCAAGAAGCTTGCAAGGAAGCGCGCGTCAAAGTAATGCGGTGCTGTGCCGCCCTCAGGCGCAAGTCCGAAAGGGGGCACTGGCAGTTCCGCGATGGGAACCAAGGAGATAGGGCAATCCCCATCAACCTTTGTCCACCAGCCTGGCTTGCGCTCCTTGGCTTTTCGCTCTTTACCTTTGCCTTTGCCCTTTTCGTCCTTTCCGTCCTTTCCGTCCTTGCCGTCCTTTCCGTCCTTGCCATCCTTGCCATCCTTGCCATTGCCCTCCTTGCCATCCTTGCCCTTCCCACTCGCCTTCCCGACCTTCCCCCTGAGAGCCGGGGCGGCTTTAGGCATCGGCTCCACGACCTCAGCCTCTGACTCGGACTCAGACTGCTCAGAATCTGCTGGTTTGGAAGACTGGATGTTGGACAGCACCTCTTGGGCACGTCGCTGCATCTCCTGCTCCTTCTTCATCTTCTGAAGCTGTCCTTTGCTGGGCCCCTTGCCCGCTTTTCCTTTGCCGCTGGACCCGGCAACGTTCAGATTGCGTGTGCCGTAGAAACCAGCCTGAGCAGTACCACAATCAAAACTGTGCTTCAAGTAGCAAACCGACACTTCGCAACCGCGTGCTTCGCTCGACTTTTTCACAGTCAGGAGCCGGGCCTTCGCGTCCTCCTCCTCCCGCTTCCTCTGCAGCTCACTTTGGCGCCTCTCCTCCTCCAGGCGCTGCTGCCTCTCCCGCTCCCGCAGCTCATAGAGCTTTTGCTCCTTCGCCTGGAGCTGCTCCTGCGTCGCTCGAAAGGAGTCAATGCCTTTCCTCCGAAGCCAAAAAAAAGGTTTAAGAGAATCAAAGGGCAAGCATCATTGACATTGGACATTGGAGAGTAACCCCCCAAATTCCGAACGGTAATTCGGTGAGTGCCCAACGTTATCACCCTTTCTACTGAAGATGGTGGTGGTCAATACTGACTGTTAAACACCGCAACAGTTGGACCATGAAGCAGATCCTGGTGTAAGCTTGAGGCTCCTGGCGCTCTTTATCTTTCTGCTCCCTCTGAGCACGCAGCTTTGCCTCCTTTAGCTCCTCTTCGTGTTGCTTCCGCTCCTCCTTCTGCTGAAGCCGCCTGCGGTTTGCCTCGATCTCCTGCTGCACCTAGAAACACCAACTTTCAAACATCTCCGAACGAATTCGAACATACGGGAAGCGCTTCTAAGCCTTACAAGATAATATGAACTGGGCAACTCAGGATCCATTGGTTTAGGCGGATTTTAAAGCTCCGATTCCCTGGCCTCCCATCGCCGGCGCTCGGCCTCTTGTTCAGGCGTCGCTTGCCAGTCGCCCTTCCAGTCCTGGCTCCACCAACCAGAATCCCAGCTCCAGCCGCCTTGCCACCAGTCCTCACAGGGCATGCCGAAAGCGCAAGGCGTTTGAACGAAAGGGCTGCAATGCCCACCCGGGTACTTTTGATACATCTCAATCTATACGTATATACTTATTGCTGTGCCTAATTACGAGAGTCATGTCCAGCCAAACTCTGTGTGTGTGTCGCGTGTTACACTTCTTGGCTGGCTTCGTGCTTTGGGGTGGTTGCACCAAAACAAGCCGCCGCAGGCGCACAGCTGTGATTTGCTGCAACACCTCCGTAAAGGCATAGTCCTCTTTGTGTTCCTTCTCATGCCGTTTCTCCTCCTGGGGTTCCTGCTCCTCCTCCTCCTGCGCCTCCTCCTTCTGCTTCTCAAGCTTCTGCTGCTCCAGTGCCCGTTGTCGGCATGCCTTAGCACCAAGCAGGAAACCGGACGAACTGGGCGGCACCACAAGCTCTTTGTCGGATGTCTTTGCGCTTGCATTTTGGTTACAAATGTCGGCAGTGACAGCCCTGCCTTGAACCTGTCTGCGCAGGCTCGAACGTCACGGGTCCCCACGTGAGCAGCGATTGATTTCCACTTCTCCTTGGCATCGCAGATGGCAGCGAATCTGACGAGGCCCTCCTCGAGCAGCTGCTGCTCTTGCTCACTCCATGCGTCAGACATGAGAAGCAGAGAAAAAAAATAAGAAACTCGAACACCCCGCATGTTGTTTCGGCTGCTTCGCGAATTGCCCAAATACTCGATCTGAATCTCAGTGGCAACTGAGTCTAGGTGGGATCATGTCGGCAACTGTTCGTGCCGCATATGCAAAGTGGGCGAGGGGTGCATTCTGGAAAGTGATCACAAGCTTGGGTGCTTCAATCTGCGGCACAAAGCTGGTCTTAATAGTAGAGGCCCATGTGCCAGTTGACCTTTGGCCCAAGCCAGCACGCTGAGCCGCGTGAATTCGAGCCAAGATTCCCGCGAAGCCTGAATAGCACAAAGCAGCTACCAGCAACTCCAGCAAGGCAAGCAATCAGCATTGCTGTAGCAAGGAATGCGCTGCGAGGCAAGCCCTCTCCTGCCTACATCCGCCACAGTTGGCTCTGATTTCGCCTAAGTGCATGCCGTTGTTCTGGGCAAGCATCGGATTTTAATGGCATGTTGCAATAAAATAATAAAGGTCAAACGAATGATGATTCCCGAATGGACATCACCCAAACCCCAGTTCGAGGGATTGGGGGACCTCCTCATTCGTGCCCAAGCAGCAAAAAAACAAGGAGGAACTAGTTATGCACAAGCACGGAAACCCACGCACAAAACTCAGCCAGTATCAAACTTCTAATTAGGGATTAACCTGTGAACAACGGCCCAAAACTTGAACCACGACAACAGGGATGTGTTTGCTGCGGGGGTCCCATTCATTGTTGGAGGGAAGGGGTGTTATTGCATGTGGCTGCATTATGCCAGTGCAAAGGCATTGGCTGTTTCTGCCCGTCTCGGCGTGCGCAGCTTGAAGTCAGGACTCACACGGGCTGAGGAGAAGCCTCGCGAGCATCAGTCCATCAGTTTGCCGGGATTTGTTGAAATCACAGTGTTGACCATGTATTGTTAAATGTTGCCATGGACTGAATGGTCCCCAGGACCATGGCATAAAGCAGCAAAGGTATCAATGGCAAAAGGTCAGACACATCCGCACTATCGACATAGCGCGAAAGAGGGCCTAGGCCCCAGAGTCGGAGGACGAAGATGAGGCACAACGCCTTCCGGGGAAGAGTTTTGCCTACGGCTGGCTCTTGCTTGTATGACTTAGATGACTTACATGTCCACAGCACAATGTTGATCCGAGTCTTCCTGTGATGAGAAACACAAGCTTTCTTACTGGAACAAGAATGGCTGTCCCATTCTGTTTTGATCCCTTGAATCAAACTGTTGGACCATGGCAGCTATCACAGGTCAAAGGCAAATGGTGGACTTTTATGATACGTTTCAAGACTGCTTTCCTTCCTCGTCGCTGCAAAATGCCAGTGGCAGGATCGGCCAATCGCCCACCTGGGCCCAAACTGCCACGCAGCCTTTGCTGCGGCCCAGCAACATGGCAAGGTGCCGTGCCGTTTGCAAGGACGACAGGTTGCCAGGACGACTAAGCTCTGTGAGTACCGTGGGAAAGAGCAAATGTCACTTCCAGCTGGTGTGTAGGAGGTGCTTGCGTGTTCAAGCTGACCATGCAAGCGTCTCATCTTGCTTGCGGGCTTGCTGCTTTGTGCAACTCGAGCCAGCTCAAAATTCCTCTCAGCAGTACGTATCAAATGCAGCTACTGCGCGGCATATTCGGCGTGGCTGGGTCCACATCTCTAGACAATCAGGACGAGAGCAGATCAGTTGCATTTGGCTGCATGCAAAATGGGCCATTCTATGTTCATCGGCAAGTGTCTAAAATGCTGTTTCACAATCCTACATTTGTTGGAAGAGGTATGCTTGGGAGTGACGTTGCACAAATTATTCACACAACTTTGGCATTTCGCATGCAGCGTCACTCACTTGCCCATCAGTAAGTGAAACAAATGTAAGGGCCCGCATGACTCTTACCAGGATCAAGACGGCACCGTTGCCAATAAGCTCAAACAGCTCCTTTTTCCGTTTCGGATGCTTAATCAACCTCCTCGAGCTCAGCCAGGTCAACGGGCACCTGGTCCTCTCCACAAAGAAATCCAAGGCTTGAATTACGCAAATGTCGTCAAGGATAATAAGCAAACCGCAAACACTCCTCAATGGCCAGCTTTTCTGCGAGCTTCTTCTTTTCCTTCTCCTTCTTCTTCCGCGCACGCGCCTGCGGCCCAAATCTCAAACCGGGGAATTTCCAGCGCCGGCTTTTGGAGTGAAAAGAATCGAGCGAATGCAGCGAGTAGTTCAGCTCTTGTGGAGACCTTGAGCTTTTGGCCTGTGCCCAATCGCAATCGCGCAGTACGGCCTCGTCGATCTCGCGCTGCCGTCGGATCGAAGGTGCCTGCCCATTAGCGAGAGCGCTGCTGCAAAAGGGTAAGGAACTCGCGAGATAGCATCATCAAATGGGCTGGGTCAGTCAAAATTGCCCCTTGCACGCCCAGACAGCAAACCTCCTTGTTCATGTCTGCAACGGAGACGTACGGACAATCCTCGGGCTGGCATCCTATGCTCCACTTAAAACATTCCCAGGCGCCCTTGGCGCACCGGCATCGCCCACCCTCAAAAGCTGAGTTCTTCACATTGCAATAGACTTTGAAGCATCTGTCTTCCGCTTTCTTCATGACACTCACCTGGCTGTCCCGGTGCACGTACTGTTTATCACGTTCAAGTGCAAAGCACGAATCCTCTGCCAGAAACTATCCCGTCTCTGGCTCTCATCCGCCCCACAAATGACGTTCGTCTGGGAACCCAACATCAAAGCGCTAACCCTCCGGCCAGCATGCGTACCGGCTTTCATGTCATAATTGTCTTGTTCGCAAGCAAGGCGCAGCTGCCAAGAGAACGGGGAGCACACACTAAAGACTGACACATCTGCAGTGAAAGCGGCGCTCGCATTGCCTGTGTTCGAATAGTTTTCGGACCAGTTAGGAAACACGTTTGGGGCTTCCTTCAGACATGCCTCAGCATAGACTCCATGCCGAAGAAAAACATCTCTTGGAACAACGTCGTCCTTACCTTCCCCGAAAAAGATATTGTCTGCACCCTGTCGTCGTCGATTCCCGGAACAACGACAGCTCCCTCACAATTTTGTGGAGGCTACTTTCGGCGCGGCACGCTCGGCCACCATGCTGGAACAACCTAACGTAGCAGCACGCAAACTGCCCATGATATAGCCACGTCAACCCCAGTTTCTTGCCGAGCATCACTCCCTCTCGGAGATTCAACAAAAGGAAAACCCGAAACAGTGGTAGTTTTCAGAAAAGGATCCGCACCCATCCCAAGAGCCACCCGTCCAATGGACCCAACTCCCATACAAAACCGGCCCGGCACACGCTCTTGGAGCCACAGCCCTCGCACTCATACTCAGAGAACTCTTCCTCCTCGGAGAAGTAGACGTCGGCCTCTCAGCAGTTTAATTGTCGGCCCCCAATCCATCTAAGGATTGAAGGATTGAACATCCAATGCGCCAGCTGCATGCCTCCCGGCGCGGCTCGGGCTCCTTGAGGTTGGCAATCATCTTGGCACATTGGCGAGAAGATTGCAAGTCGCTCGGCATCAGACGTCAGGATTTTAGCTCTGGCCCCGGCCTTGATCCTGGTGTCAGCAGTGTCGTCATCGCTGTCATCCTGCAATGGCTGCAAGAAAAGTCGAACTCCGGGCGAAGGCTGCACGCAAAGTTCCAGGCAAGGACGTTGAACAAAACTACAAAAATCCCTCGTCCTGATCTGGCAGCTCCTGGCAACATGTGAGGCTCTGCGCACTCTTCAGGGTCACAGTACTCGTGGACATCAGACTTGCCCACTGGCTCAACTCTTTGTTCACACAACGCAAAGTCAGCTCCCCAGATCCTTCTTCTCTGTCTCAAAGAGAGTCTTGGTAATGTACTTCGTGCCTTTGAGAAGAAGCGGATGACCACCCCCGTTCAATCGCAATGCAAAGTGGTTTGGGACCCTGCTCATGTTTCTCTGGCCCTGGTTGATGCATTGAGCTCGGGACAATCTGCACGCAAGTACAGGAGATACCTCAGGCCCGCAAAACCTTGCCGTGTGCATAGCTGGTATCATGGATATACGGTACGACTGCACCACCACCCATTGACCACTTGCCTGATGTTCTTGATCCGCTCACCGGCTTTATTGGTCTTCGTCTCGAGCTCCCAGTAGGAGTCCTCAAAGGCCCCCATTGATTTGTTTAGCCGCAGACTTGAACCAACCGAAACCCAACCAAAAAGCTTGCAATTCAGGATATGAGCAGAGCATCTGCTCTTTGCATGACTGCAGTTCCAGCAGCTGCATCGTGGAAGGCATGAATGCAATAGACGCGGGCAGGGATGGTTATTGATTCTTTTTCCTAGGTCAGTCACCCGAAATCTTCCACAATGGCCCCAAAATCGTTCACAGGCCCTGCTCTTCCCCAATCTCTGCTTGCCCCTCTGATTCCCGCTGGTTGTTGTCCCTGCATTGTGAGAAGCCATAACTCTCAGTAAGTCCACTGACGGCATGAGGGGTGCATTCCATTCATACGTGTGTGGCGTCTCACCTGAAATTCATCCACGTGGCAACCCACAGCCCGGTGCCCATTCGGCCTCGACGCTGAGCCAGCGCTCGTCGCTGAAGTCATCATCAATCAGCACGTCGCCATGCAGCGACAGCCTCAAGTGCTTTGACCTCGGCAGCACGGACCCCGTGCGCCATGGATCAGTCTGAATGGCAAATGCATTTAAAATGATGCCATGGAAGATGGTGATTATTGGGATACAAAGTGTGGGTTCTGAATTGAAAAATCGATAAGCGGTCGAAACAATCGGTCTTGATCTGCTTGATTGATGCAAACCAACTTACTGTACAAAAATGTGAGGGACAAACCTATGGAATCCAAAACAACCGACCTCGGGAATGTAACTGCCAAGGCTCCATCAGCAGCGGCAAACGCCGAAAAGCTGGATTGGACCAAATTAAGGTGTTTCTGGGATCCAGCTTCCCCGCACAATCAGGAAGCTTGACAGAAGTGTCAACATTGCAAAACAACTTCTGCTGCCCAATATCCTGAACGTGTGAACAGCTAGCATCGCCAATGAAACAGCTCATTTGCCTGCTCTGGGCCTCCCGACGACAGCTTTACCTGCACGTGTCGGGGCTCCGTGTCTCGCTGGGCGGCCACCTGGCAAGTTGCTTGGAGAACCTCACCCTACACGCGGCTCCGCCCTCACGCGAGCAAAGCCTCTATCCATAGAAACACGATTTGGGGGCAGAATGCACTGAGCGATGCATGCTGAAGCATGCAGACCAAGGGCATTGGCAACAATCAACTCCGTGTGGTTGACTCCTATCAAATATCTTCCATCCGCTCAACTCCGAGCAAAAAGGCTAGCCTCGAGGATGACGCAGTCTCGTGTAAAGCCGTCGTCATCCTGGCCATCAGTGAGACGCAGCACTGCCGGATGTTGCGGCCCGTTGCTGTGACAGCTCTCGCCAAGGAGAAGACCCAAGCCTCATCGATGCCAAAACTCCAGGAGTAATTCTGAAACTTCTTCTGGACACGCTTCCTGGCCAGGTGCTCTCCACACGCGCCGTCTGAAAGCTTTATCACTCTTTGGTGCACTGTGGCATGTCACTGAAGTGTGTGAGTGTGTGTGTGTGTCTGTGCCTTGCCTTGGATCACTCTTCTCCAGAAAAGCTTCCCATTCATCCTGACCAACCCACGTGCACACATGCGCACGTACACAGACATCTACGTGTCCCCGCCTCTTGCTCAAACTCGGGCTGTATGGCCATCGCAAAGCCACTCTGGAAGTTCTAACTGAAGTTGTTGACATCTGGTGCTGATGGTTGCGTGTGAGATGATACGAAAGGCCAAAAATCAAGCCAAGTAAGGAAGGATGATTGTCCTGTGCCTGGGCAAGTGCACAAGTCAAGCCGATCTCTGAAAGGGCATCATGGATGCTGGGAGTAACTCTGCTTGACATCACCAAGGTCACCCGCTTTCTCTCATACTTGTGCCCTGCACAAACGCATGAGTCTGTGTCTGTGTTGAAAACTGTGGCCAAAAGAAGCATGTCAGCGGCGCTGCCTGAAGCTTTCCAGAGTTTGTTAGACCCCCAGCCAAGCTTCTGAGGCTTATTTATCCCCATGACTGGGTCCGTCTGGAAAATAATTCCGGCCCCAACGCAGCATGACGACTTTAGGTATTCATGATGTGCAGCGCAGGCGCACAGCTCTGATTTTCACAAAACTCCGTTGCTCCTGGCCCTCCAGGAGGTTCATCCAACTCAAATGGGGAGGTGACAGGTCCATAACAACATAGCTGTAAGGATGGAAGAGCTGCTTTTGTTCTATCCATGTCCCTGCTTCGAAAGCATAGTGTTGTGGACAGCAAATCAATCGACTGCTGATCTGATCCGATTCTGCCTGAATCTGAAGTCTTAAGCTGTGGGCCGCTCTCTGGCTTTCTCTGGCTCAGCCATCACCTGCGCGTGCGAACCAAGGTGGGAATACAAATGACACTTTGGAGCTAACTGAAGAGATCACTGAAAGCGCAGCGCGCAAAGGTCACTTCATTCTGATCCTTGAGAACCTGCAATGAGGAACAGGCTGCTGCGAATGCAAAGCTGTGTTGAGTAAGAGTTTCAATGATGCTCCCTCTGTCTCTCTCCTCCTCTCGCTCTCCCTCTCCCTCTTCCCCTCCCTCTCTTTCTCTCTCTCGCTCTCTCGCTCTCTCTCTCTCTCTCTCTCCCTCCTTTTCGCGTGCACGTCTGACTAAGACCTTGCCGGGCAGCATTCTTTGCTGCTGGGCAATCAAGAATACATTGGATTCCGCAGAAATGTTCCAGAGCCGGCCTGGCTATAGCAAGAAACACTTGCAATCAGCTGGCTCAACATAGAACTTGTGCCGAAAGATACTTGCCGACCAATCCGCTGCGTTCAATCAAAAAGAAAGAGCTCCTACCGCGTCCGGACTTTCCTGCAAGCTCTGATCTTCCCAGCCCATTTTGGCTGGGGGTTCGTTATCACTTGCGCTGTCAGCTTCGCTTTCACGAGGCGCAGATGCGAACGCGCTACGAGCTCCGTGTGCCTCAAGGAGGCACGAACATGTCGTACTCCATGATAAAATCATCCTCGTCCATCAGCGTCAGTGTGTCCTCAGGGTCCTCCCTGAAGTCGGGGGCGATGGCTCTCGCCTCAGCACAAGTAGCTGGAAGCATTCTCAGATTCTTTCTTCCCAGTGCTTAGGAAATAGCATCTCTGGAACAGGGTCATCAGAGTTTCAGTAGAAGATTCCGCCTTTTGGCTAGCGAATGACCCTTTGTTGCAAGCAGGTCGCGGGATTTGCCGGAGCACTGAGCTCCTCCATTACTCGGATCTGACTGGAAGAGGGTGTTCTTCGAACAGCCCGGTCAAACCAGACCTCTTTGCGGAGCCACTCCAGGATCTCTGGCTTGGACCTCACAAGCTGCTTCAGCTTCCATACATCTGGGGGTAGAATGAACACACAAGCTATCTGTGCTTGCCTCAAATGGCCGTTGCCACAGCAAAAAGGTGGCCCACATGGACACAGGCTCAAAATGACACGCCTGAAGCTTCAAGCTTATATACACCAAGCGGCCGCAGTGGCGGCATCTCCAACCATTCCTCTAGCTTGCGCAGCTCTTCGGGGCAAAGGCAGCCTCGGATTGGGCACAAACCCGAGCCACATGCGGCAAGTTCTTTGTGGACTTGATGGGACCTGATAGATGAACTGGACAAGAACAAAAGCCAGCTACCGTCATACTCTGAATAAGCGCTCTCCGAAGCTAGGGCCATGCTGCGAGCCTCTGGCAGATTAGCAACTTGCAAAGAAGAAGAAAGGAGGTAATCTGTGGAACTGCGTTCCGGTTTGACCCATGCCCGAAATAAAAGTCTGCAATGAGCTGCGCAGTCGCCTTTGATATGCCCTGGCGAAAACCAAGTTGTGCCGCCTTAGATGGAGCTGACCTGCTTGTGCAAGCTTGCATTCCTCGTTATTCTGAATGCAAGCATCCTAGTCGATGTGCGATTGTCGCACTGGCCGACTCTCTGCATTTTGCGCAGCAACATTTAAAAGAGCTGACAACAAGCGTGACGTGAGCGCCGATCCTTGTGCTCATGGCCAGCACGTGCAAGGCTACAAGTTTTAAGCATTCCGTGTGGGCCTTCTTCTTCCTGGAGCTCCAGTTCTTGCTATGTGCCTGCACAGCGCAAGGTCGATGTTCTGTCTTGGACGCCTGATGCAAGTCCCTGCTTCTTGCTTGGACGACACACGCGCCAATTCTCAGTGCAAAACAATTAGACTAGACTGCAACCCCATTCGCGCATTTCCCTGCTTCGGCTTTCCGCTTTGGACAAACGGCCGCCTTTTTATTGCCGGGCTTGAACCCGCGGGTATGGTTGTTGTGCCAAACACAAGGGCCTCTTCATGCTCCAAAAGGAACCGATATTCACCAAATGGAGGGGTCAGACTCGACAAATACCGCGTACTGATGGTCCGGGCGGCCAAGGTCCTCGAGGCCCAACTCAAAAAGCCACAGCCAGCGGCTCAGCTGCCAGGACGGCACCGGTTTCTCGAGTTGCTCCTGGGCGAGGACCGATGCAGGTCCATGAAAAACTGGAGATTGATTCTGTGAATAGAAATTAATTCAAGCGACTGCAACCTGCTCGAAAGAACCCATCGAGTACTTGAGTAAAATTTGGTAACTCTAGCGTCGAATAAAATCTGGACAGTCTACACCAACGTCCTGCGCCTTCTTCAGAGCCTTGCGCACCAAGGAAATGGCCTGCCAGACTGAGTGTCAGGGTCAAAAGAGACATGGGGACATGACGAAACCTATATGCTTGCTTGAGGAGGTGGCTGGGTGCGTCTGCACACCCCTTGGCTGCAAGTCTTGCACTGAAACGAAGCAGAGCGGAATTTGACTCCTCAACACGAAGGCACCCGAAGTGGGGCCAAAAAGAAAGCATATCCGAAGCTAGAGGTGTCCTGGCAAACCCAAATTAGAACCTCGTCCCTCGGCGTGCAATGCCCGAGCCGGGCCTCGGCGCGGGGGTAGGTGCAGAGCTCCGGCAGCGGGGCGGCAGAGGCCTGCGCGCGGCGGCTCCAGAGCTGCTTCCGCAGCTTTTGGATCACCTCCTCCTGGCACAGGGAGACTCAGACACGGAGACTCTGACACGAGGGAGGGTCTCAACGTTTTGAGAGGGTCCCCTTTTGAGACAACCGCATGTGGCATAAGGGAGAAAGGGAAATAGAGCTGACATGGTCCTTGAAACAAAAAAACCTTTGGGCTACACCCAGTAAAAATAAAATGTGTCTCAGCGCCCAGGTGCTGTCGACGTGAGATCTTGTCAGTGTGTGGCCCAAAGCTTCGAAGTGACTTTAGTCAGAGCCCGTTTGCCTTGGTCATGCCTGTCATCCTGACGTTCAGCTTCTCCTGAGCCAAGCTCGGTCTCATATCCCCACAAGAACCAAAAGGGAGGCAAAAGTAGTTTTCCACTCGAAACGCCCCGCTGTGCGTCCAAGGCTCCGAGAGTTGCTTGAACTCCTTCAAGGGCAAGCAATCCAGGTGCTCCAGCTGCAGGTGTGCAATTCTTATTGCTTTGGCCAGCCTCACCCACGCCCCCCGGGTCCGACACAAGTAATGTAGGGCGGCCGTGCTGGATTCGCTGCGAACTCCTGCAGCTTCTAAATGACCAGTGGGTTTCAAGCTCCCGTAGCTCGAATCGCTCAGCAATTCAATCAGCTCTTGCTAGCTCAAACGGCCTCACTGATGATAATGCACTCACACCTGTGCGCACGCATCAGGTATAGCATGCTTTATGGTATGCCTACACATATGCTTAAGGGATAGCCCGGTCAGGATTTCCCCCCCTTTCGAGGAGGAGAGGCTGGGGTGGGGGTGGTTCAGCTTGGTCAAGGGTGGGTTGAGTGTAGTGGGTCTAGGCTGGGTTCAGGGTGGCGGCTTTCGGATTTGATAGGCAGTGGGTTTGGAAAAAAGGGCATAGACTTGGTGTAAGGGTTCTAGATCTGATTTGGGTTGTTTTAGGGCTTGTCCAAAAGGGGTTACGGGCTGGCTCAAGGTGAGTTTAGTAGAGTTATGGTATTTGAGAGTTTAGAGTTGGTATGAGGCTAGTTTGGCAGCATCCCCGGCATCCCCAGCATCCCCGGAAGCCCCAGCGGCAGCGCATCCTCAGCCCATCCTACCCTGAGCACCCTGTAAGGCAAGCCCATCCTAGACCATCTCTCAAGCAACCCCCCACCCACCAACGCAGCCACCACGCAACTCTACACCAAACCATAAGGCGCCTGGGTAGACTCCGACGATCGTCCGCCTCAACAGCATGAGACACGCAGGACCTGACCAGCTCCAGCACGGTGGTGGTGTCCGCTCTCAATGAGGCCACCTGCACAAGCCCAAAATGGTCCGAGCCACCTCTCAAACTGAACCAACTCGGTTGGTCCATTTCGTTGACATTTCTGGATTGGGTCTTGCAATGTATCTGGACGTGAGTCACTCAGAGCACCAGAGCCAGCTCCACCAGGCCTCTGGAAGCCTGGCATTCCGACAGCGTGAAGAAGCATTGGTGCTAAGCCCTCAACGCCCTTAATACACTCGCTCACAAGGCCAACTTGGCCTGCTTCGAGTCTGGCGCTGCAGTCGGAGACTCTGGAGCTGCTGGTGCATCCACCTCAGGTTCAAATCATCGACAGCTGACATCTTCCCACGAATTCAGCTGGATGCACCACCCTCCCGTCGTCTTGTTCAGACATTCCATTCACCCTTCTGGCTTCGGAAAGGGACCAGAGGGACCAGGATGCTGACTCAAAGAAGAGCTCTTCTTGAAGTGCTCCTTCTGGATGAGGATGGAGCAGGTCTCTGAGCAGCTCTTTGCGCTCCTACGCGCGAGCTTTCGCATGTCAAAGAGCTGTTGAAACCAATGAGTGCAAGCTCGTGCACCACTACAAACCTGCAAGTAACGCAGCCATGGGGGAGCGACCTCAGGAAACTCAGTGGGAGGGATGCCAAGGGAAAACTGGCGCTGCAAGAGCACAACTATGGTGCTTGCAACCACAAACACATGTCATGACAAATGGCCAAATGTCCGTCCATAAGATCGTCATTGGCCACCCCTACCAAAACCCAAGGACACACTATGCTTCGTTCAAGGTGACCAACGCCCTCTGACTTTGGCTGAAACCTGGAGGTTCACTGAGATCCGATCCGAGTCCTTCGTGGTGAGCTGTCTCAGGTCATTGAGCTGAAAGCCAAAACCTGCGCTTCAGTTCCGGGCTCGGCTTGGGGCCAAACTGATAGACCAAGATGAGCGCGGAAATGGGTCCGCGGCAAAAATTGCTTCGAAAGGCATGCCAACTGGGTGGGATTTGGAACCGAAAACCCTGCAAAGGGGTGTTTCTGTTTCTTGCGGGTATGCGAGTGGTTTGAAGCTGATTTGTCCCAGACCAGCTGGGCTACTTGCATCAAATTTGCAGCAATCCTTGCGATTTTTCTCAGCTATTTCGCCAACTGCACCAGTCTCACCAAGACCACAAACACCTTGCTTCCCTCTCAGTGGAACTCCCGAATCTTACCGACAAGGGCCAACTCCAACATCCAAATTGAAAACAAGAATGAGCTTGACCAAAAGGAAATGGCAACAACCAGTGGCCATTCTTGGCTCTAATCTCCTCCCAGTCTCCCTCATGTCCGTTACTGCGGCAAATAATAACTTTCATGGACGAAAAACTCTTCCTATCACGACTGCTTCTCTTCCACATCTCCCAGCTTTTCTCTCACAGTCCACCACCATCCACCATCTCTAGGCCGTCCCTGCCGCATCTGTCGCCAGGCGCCTACTGCTCATCCTTTCCCTTACTTTCTAGGAACCCCTTTAGGAACTAATTACACCTGGCAATCCTGACAAGCCAGCGACCGGCGCAATCCCTTGTGTCAGAGCCTGCCTTTCAGGCCGCGGCTCAGCTTCAGCACCTTCAGCGCTGCAGGGCCGGGCCCTGGCGTGGCTGGCTGTGGCTTCTGTCAAATCTTCCAGTGGCCCGGACCATCCCTTTACCCAAGGAGGGTCTGAGGAAAATATGTGAAGTCAGCAAAGAACCTGCCATGCTAATAGATGATATCTTGGACAAACTCTGCCAGGTGCATGCTGCATGCTGGCAGCTGCGCCGATGGCCCTTCCGCTTACCAGGTTGCATGCAGTAAATCCACCAGCCATATAGGTGCGTATCCACCAGCCATATAGGTGCGTTGCAACATGAGGGGCCGGGTGCGACGGGCCTTTTATATATTGCCAATATGGATGTACACGGCGTTCAGTGAAATATTGCTGAATCTGAAATGAGTAGATTGAATACCTCACTGAACCCAGGACAGTCCTGGCATGTCAAACGGTGGGCAGCCGGCCTAGGCCAGGTGATGGGGGCCTGCGGCCCTTGCGCGGCTCCTCCCGCAGCTGATGACGGATTTCATCTATGGCATCCCGTACCTTCTTCACCTGATCAAACGATCAAACAGGCAGTTGAACCATGCCATTCAACCTACCGAAGCCTTGACTTGCGTGGATGGGTGTTTGTTCAACTACTCCCGAGAGCGGTTAGCTAATTGGCGAGATGTATGACACGCCTTGTGCAGTTTCTGCACAATGGCCACTGAAACATGCCCCCAGCCTGCTCTAGCTCCTTTTGCTCTGCGGCTCTTGGCAAGGATGCACTCCTAGCAATGCAATGCCGGCCTCTGATTCATTCTGCTGAGACCGCCACCACGAACTTTCCAAGCCCTGGTCTACGAACAGCGCCCAAAGAAACGCCGACAGCGTGTTCCGCCCGTCTCTAGCAGAGTTTGGTCCTCTTGGGCCGGAATGAATTCGCGCTAAACCGCATCTGCTCCGTCTCCTTCCGCCTGGCTTCCTGATATGAAGCCAGAAAAAAATGGCCTTCATCCACATGTTCGGCATCCACATCCAAAGTTGCTCGTGCACCAAAACCCTCAATTGCCAAGGTGAGTTCTAGGAACATGTCTCCTTTGCTTTGAGTTGTCGCCCTGATCATTTCCTTCCTCGTATGCATGCTGAAGCCTTGCCTTCTCCCGGCCGCGGCGACGTCGAGAGAGCGTGCGCGCACGCCGGACTGCCTCTCCAGCAGGCCGGAGAGGCACGCCCATCACAGTGTTACCAACGCGCAGGTGGATTAACGATTTTCCTTTCCCTCACTGCAAGCTGCAAGTTGCACTCCTCGACGCTTGCCGGCCGCGCGGGCGATCTGCACCTGCACCATTCCACTACATGACCAGACCCAACAGGGGGGCAGGGACGGGCACCAAAGCAATCGCCTTGGTCTACAGCTCTGCTCGGGAGAGGGCGATGAACTTCTGGGCCGCTCCTGTCCAAAGCAAGTCCAGTCCCCAGCACACTGCATACAAGTTGACAAGCTGCAAAAGTCTTGAATGTCTGCAAAGAATCTCGTTTCCCTGTCAAACTTTCAAAGGGACTCAAGCCGCTACCCTTACAAAGGCCCCATATTCAGAAGCATGTTTCTTTCGCCTTTGAACAGTGGCGGCGCACCAGTCCTTGATGTCCCGCCAAGTGAAGCCCTCAGTGCCTCCTCGCAGACGAACCTGACTTTTTTGATGTGTCTGTGGGTCTCTGTGCCAAAAGCTATCCCTTGCGACTGCCCTGCCTTAACAGGCTCCAATGACACCACCGTGCCCGGCTTCCAGTCTTGCTCCGCGGGCCTGCAATGCGGCATCCCTGCAGAATGCAGAGACGAGAGAGAGAGAGAGAGAGGGAGAGAGAGACGCAGCCAGATGTACAAACAGACACAGACACACAGAGACAAAACAGAGACAAAGAGCGAGAGCAAGGGGGAGACAAAATTTCCTTATATATAAATACTATTATGTAAATATATATATATATATGTGGATATAGTATCTCCCTTGCTCTCGCTCTTTGCCGCTGTTTTTGCTTGTATATATATATATGTGTGTGCGTGCGTGCGTGCGTGTATGTAGTGTGTGACTGTCATGTCAATGTGTCTGTACACACAGCTTTGCTTGGTAGATATAGATTCCATTTGTGCTCACGCACGTCAATCCATTTGTTGGAGCATCGTCGTGCGCCTAATGGCAAACCTCCGCAGTCTACCAGCAGCACTGTGCCTGCCTTTTTTTTGACTTGCTGACCGCCCGCTCATCGCTGCAAGCACGTCTGCCAAATCGCAAGCATACCCGCTCACGCGCGCCCACAGCACTGCACACAACCTCAAATGGTAAGCACGCCTTCTCAAGCGCGCCCGCTCAGCACTGCACACGCACCTACCAAATGGTGAGCACATCATTGCTGCAAACGACTTTGATTCCGTCCAGTCCGTCTTTCTCGTGAGCAGCGACCTCTCGCGCGCCCAGACAAGTTCTCACAGAGCGAACGCTTCGCTAACTCGGGGATTCAAGCACACGCAGGAAACATAAACGGCGCCTGGGCACGCCTTCAAGAAACCTTGCCCAACAGCTTGCACAGCAAGTCCGAAGAAGCATAGAGGCCCTGATATGTAGACCCTCCAAGCACAAACGCTGCGAAAGATCTAGATGCTGTGATCCTTGTGGAGAGCGCATCTTGGTCCCCTCCCTGAATCGCTGTTGTTTGCTTTGCTGGAAATGAGAAACTCTTCGAATAGACTCAAACCAATCTCAGAACAATCGCAAGCAAGGATGACGCAAGGAAGCAAATCGACTGCACATCTGCCTGGCCCGCTCATGGAGGGCATCCTTCTCTGTTCTGTCTCGAACCTGAACGCCGTGGCTTTACACGTCTTTGAAATATTCGTCTGGGTCTCAGAAAGAACAAATCGCAGCCTGCTGTATCAGAAAATCAGAGAAAAAAGAAAAGTGACAATGCCGGCTGAACTCGGCCGAAGGGAAATGGGTCGAAAGCTCTCCAATGTCGCATAAGGAAGCCAGTGAAGGAAGATAGATGGCCAGCAGCTCACCAGGCTGACAGGTTGCAAATCGATGCATGTCAAAAAATGGTGTCTGGGCTGCTGACCCACACTCGATCGCCCACCTGCCATCGGCAAAGCCTGGCCTGCCAGATCTCCCAACCCGCACGCGAGCCGAGGCGAAAACCAATGAGATTTGAGGGGAGACGGGTCTGTGTTGTTGAGGAGTCGGTTTTACCACTCTCCTGAGCACATTGTTTCCGAGAGGTTGCGCTAGTAGGTTACTGAATCAGACTGTACCAATCACAAATAAACTCCGTTTCTTAGCCATGCTCAACAGGTGTGCACGAGGGCATGGCAAAACTGGGCTCGTTCCTGGCTGTGCGAAAAGTGGCGAGCCATCACACCATGTGTTTGTAGTCTAGCGAGACGAAAGCAATGGAAATGTGGATGCATGCAATCCCTTCGAACAACCTCAGCTACCTGCAGCTCAAAGTTTACGATCAAGTTAGATGCGTTTGGTGGATTGAAGGTGCCGAGAAAACGCCCGCACCCATCTCCGATGCACAAACTCACATCTCCAAGTCAATATGGTGGCTGTGCCTGCGAGAGCCGCTGAAAGACCGTGCGTCGCGGAGGTGGCTTGCGTGGACGAGCCTCAAGCCATCAAATCAGCCATCATGGCAAAAGCATCATAAACTATGCGCGCCCTTTCGTAGACCCACCACGCCGTTCCGTCTGTTGCGTTCATGACGACTTCAGTATTGCCGAAGGTTCAGCGGTGCAGTTGCCAGCAATGCTTGCGGTGTTTGCATTTTCTCATGACACTGTCAGCAATTGGGAAACGTACAGGGTTCAGACTCAACGGCAAGGCACAAGCAGCGCCAGTCAGCCAAGTGGCAGCACACGGCTCCGACAAATCTCGCTCTCTCTCCGGCGCCTGCACGAGGTGTGGCCAAGACTGGCCACAACCGGTCTTGCATGTTGATTTTACCCCTTGCAGTAAGATTGCAGGTGAGTCAGGCATCTTTAGCAGCTTGAGTTTCATGATTTGACACATGATAAACACGCGCTGTTCCTGTGATGAACATCCTGTTTTTTTCGTGAGAATTGTGTGTTTGCATGTGGCTGCTAAACTGTTCACATGAACTTGCAAGCCAGATGGTACAATCTGGCGGCCGGTGTGCGTTGACTACCTTTGGCTCCTTTCGGCAGGTCTCTGCGGTGACCTGTGCTCTGGTAAAGCCTGTCTTTTTAAGAGGGGTTCTCTTGACGTGATCTCAACTTGGGCTCTCAGTAACAGCAGAATTATTGGCAAACCGAGCTGCAATCGCAAAGGCCCTCATAAAAGTTCAAGCCATCTCAAATCGTCCGACTTAGATTGCGCATAGAGTTCAGTCACACAGGCTAGCGCATTTGCTGGGATTCCTGACTGCGTACTGGCGCGCAAGTACCGGAATAGATGAGCCTTTTCTCGGGGAGCCCCAATGCGTTTTATGAGAAACCAATAGGAAATCAACCGAGAACCCATGCAACTCCTACGTGGTGGATGGATTGCATGCTCTGAGCCTGCCTCTGCGTCAGTCTCCTCAACTTGCTGCGAGCTGCTGACATCCGCACACATTGATGTGCGTCAGGCAGGTACTGCAATGGTTCCTTCTTTGTGGCTCCATCTATGACTCTCGTGCTCTGCCGCTTATAATGCACTTCTACAACCCAACAGAATATCGGAATGCGGATGTGGGAATCTCACAACACCAAGTGCATTGATGTGCTGGTTTAGAGAGCTGCAACGTTGACCCTCTTTCCCGCCAATCTGAGGGAGCAATCCTGCTTCAGACGGCTTTCTTGAATTCCTCTGCTGCGGGTCGGCAAGAAGCCATCGCGCGGCTTCCACGTGTCTTACCCAAGAGTCCGCAGTGCACACGTGCAGATCCCAAATTGTATTTGTCAACCTACAGCCCGCCCGGCCAAAGCAGCAAGAGAATCCACTCGCATCAAAAAGCCGTCAAGCACTGCAGCTCCGCATCTCCCCATTTGCACCTCAGCCTTGAGAGAGGGTTCCACCTAGGCTGAGCAAGCAAAAATCTCACACTCCACGTCTTCTGGGACCAGCTCGAAGGAACTTAATCTGCGTTCAGCTTCACAACCAACCCCCCCAGGCATTGATCTTGGCCACCCAGCCTCGGCGTGGGCGCCCGCCCAGCCTTGGTGTGGACAAAATCTCACTGACAACTTTGGCAGAATAACTTTACAATCCACGCTTCATATACAACCAAAGGTCGTCAGCTCACTGGTCGGCCAACCCTTGTCTGGCGGCGCTGGGAAGCTGACTGTGAGCGGACTCCTAGCTCCGTCTGATGAAACTCCCCCCCTCCTCACCTACCTCGTGCACTGGCACCTCCGGTCACAAGAAAAGTCCGTTTTCTCTCCTCGCTTCTCCGGCGACCGCCCAGGCGACCTGCAAGGGCCGGCATCTGACAAGCATGTCAAGCGGATTTCGTGTTTGCTGTTGGAAAGGCAAGGATTTTCATGCTGGATGTGTGATATACTCCCTGGCCAAGCACTTCAGGAGAATGTGATTCTGCAGAGTTTCTCCCCATTGTGTGGTCTTCCGACATGCGGTTACCAACATGCAGGATCAGTCGACAATCGTAGAGAATCCAAGGCTCGCGGCCCGGGAAGCTCTCTTTTGCGCCGCTTTCCTCTTCTCCGCATCCTGGTGCGCAATCAATTTTACATAAAATCAGGAGCCCAGGTGTGACATCTGCATACAGAGCAAAAGCTCAGCCCGAACAGGTGAACTGTCATTGACCGTCAAACTTTGCACAAGACCCTCCAAAGTTTGGCAGCACATGACTGCATGTCACAGCTTCATCTCTTCCAAATTGGGGGAATTCAGACACCTCTTGAACTGTTGTCCGATGATTTCTGACAAGCAGTTTGGCCACCATTGTTCAGATCCAATCTCCAAGTGGCCCTGGATGCAGAACCTGCTCTAAGGGCGCACACGGACACAGAGCGCGAGGGCGCTGCGGGCACCCTGCGACGATCCCGAAATCCCAAGAGCTTCACTAACAAAAGCAAAGCACCAGCCCCGATGACGGCCTGGCCTATGCATTGATATTTCGATCCCTCTTCTCAGGTTGTCCGCAAATGACAGCTCTGCTCTTTGGTTTGGCCTAGTAGTTTATGCACTGAATTAAAAAGCCTTATGCCGATTGCAAAGCTGGTCTTGTGCACCAGCTTCACCGGGCCCAAAACAGTATCTGCGGCTTCGGGGAATTTGAGTATTCGGGCATAGCCAAAGCTCCGTACCAGTCAATGTGTTTCTGTTTTTTACACAAAGATTCTATTACCAGTGGCGTGTCACGCCTTCAGAAATACTCTAAATACATGGTTTTCATGTGCAGCACCATGCAGGCAAAATGGCTACTGCCTATCGCCAAGTCGAGTGCTCAGGGGGATTGCCATTCGGAAGAGTCGAGTAGCTACTGTACGGAAACCTGCGCAGGTCACGCATGAGCAGCTGACTGACTCGGGTCTTCCACATTGCCCAAAATGGTTTGATCTGGTTTGGACTCGCTAAGACTCGTTTTAGGACAAAATCGAAGCAAATCAAGAAGGACCCGTCTCGTTTTGCAGAGAGTTGTGCTTTCTGTGTTGTCTAGCTTGCAAATCAGTGCATGTGTAGTACGCCAAGCAAACTTTGACAGCTCCGGCTCAAGAGCAAAAACTTATCAGTACAAGTGGGGTATGCGAAGTGTGCTTTGGCAGCTCTAGCTCAGAAATGCTAACTTGCGGACTCCGTTTGGACTGGTTCTGGACTCTCTGTGTTCTGCTCTTTACGCGCCGCGAAGCTTATCGCACTGATCGCGGGTCATTTCGTTTTGCATGGTCTTCACAACACAGTCTTGTTCTGACATGGTTGATTTGGGGGACCAGGTCGACCAGTTCAGGCACCCGAAAACATGTGAACGCTTAGACTTCGCTTCGCAATAGATTGGTCAAGACTGCCGCGCCAGCAACTTCATGAATCTACCCAAGGCAATGGTAGCAGTCTTCAACCACTGATGTGGACTGCACATGAATTCAACTGCTCGCGCAACACATTGATAGCCTGCCTCCGCCTGCCTCCGCCTGCCTCCGCCTGCCTCCGCCTGCCTCCGCCTGCCTCCGCCTGCCTCCGCCTGCCTCCGCCTGCCTCCGCCTGCCTCCCCTTGTTCGTTGCACCGGCCTCCTCCGGATCGAGAGGGACCGCCGTCGATTGACTCGACCACCACTTCTACTTCGAATCCGCCGCCCCTGCGCGACAAGTTTGGGTGCAGCCGTGGACCAACCGCAAAGATTGGCTAGCACAAAGGGCCTCCAATAGCACGTCAGGATTCAGGATATCAAAAAGAATGACTTTCCATCCAGACCTGAATTCACTAAGGATAATCCGGAAGCTCAAAGAGACCTGCACCTTGGAGACCTGTTTGAACCGGAAGGACTTCGATCAGAACTTCCACATCCAAACAGCAACGGCCTGCCGCGGAGCTTGTGCATCCGATGGGCTGACAGAAGGCTCCGCACTCCTTGCAAGTTCTTTGGACATCACGACGTCATGTTCCCGGCCACTGCGTGTCACTGTGTGTCACTGCGTGTCACTGCTTCTTGATCCCGTGGAGCTGTACAACTTTGGCCTCTGAAAATAATCTTCGAGCAATTCTCCACACGAAGTCCTGTCTCTTGCAGGTGGGGGTGGAGGCCCCGGGGATCGCAAGCGCCGTCCAATGCCTGACAAGCAATTGTGTACATGCAATGGGTGATGTCCTTTGTTGCCTTGATTATCTTGATTTGATTATCTTTGACTCATGCATGCGGGAGGCGGCACAGGAGTCCCTCAAACCCAACTGAGCCTTCCAATGTTGATCAGTCTGTTGCACACGCGCGGAGTCAATGATACACGCCGCTGGCCTAAAGTCCCAAATCTAGGCTGCTGGCGCGGCCGCTTGTTTCCCACGCTTTGTCCTCGCTTTCGCCTGGAAAGTTCAGCCCTGCTGACATGGCAAGAGACCGTCACCGGAGTTGTCCTGCAGTTTGCTGAAAGCCACTGCTTGAAGAAATACTATTGCGCACAAAGGTTGCATGTGTGAAGCATCGCAACTTTGCATCAGAACGCAGAAAGCATCTATCCAATCTGGCACCAAGCACTTGCCACTAAGTCTAAGCAAAATCCACAAGCACTGCTGTTCAACATATCTAAATATCCGCCAAGAGCCTCCCATCTTGCCTAGGGGACGCGCTACATCTGCGGCCAGCTTTCGCTTTCGGCCTAAAGGCAGGAGACTTGAAAACTTCTTCAGTTGAATCGATTTCGAAGCGGTAAAGCAAAACAGGCTGCAAGCCGTGAGCCTGCCAGTGAACACTCGTTTGGAACTCATCCCCACGCGCGCGCGCGCACGCTGATTTTGATTTGTTGGATCAACATCTGAAGTGAGACAGGTTGCAGGTGGCAACGTTGGATCCAAGCTGCCTCAATGCCACGGTGCCCTCGCGACCATCGCGGCTGTTGGATCGGCGCTGCTCCTGCTGCAGCTGCCTGGCGAGCTATCCCTGCGCCTAGTCACTGCAAAGTGTCAATCGCAGCGGGCTTAGATCCGATTTTCTTTTTTTTTAAAAAAAAAAGCAACAAAATGCTTCTGGCACGCGTTCATTTGATCCCTGAAGCCAGAGCCAAGTGCGACATGTCTATGAACGTTACGGTGGTAGCAATCGTGCGAGCACAAAATATGCTCTGGGTTCTGGGACTACACGGAGCGGGTGCCGCGCCTGTTCTTCTGCTTCTCCAACCGCTCCTGTTGCTGCTGCTGGATCAAAGCCTGCTGCTTCGTCCTGCGTGGCAGTTGCTGTTCGCGCAAAGCAATTGCCTCAACATCTCCCTCGTTTGCCATACACATCATACACTAGTGAATCAAGAAGAATCCGCAAAGTTGCAAACACTCCTCTGGGATGCATCGGCCCGCACCTTTGCCAGGTCTCCGGCCTGGAGCGCACTGGGCCATTGAGCAGCCAGAAAGGCCCACCAAAGCCACGACGCCGGCCTGGATCGGGTTTACCTTGCTGCTCCACGGGAAGAAGACCTCGTCAATGAGCGACTGCCGCTGCTGCGAGCCCTTGCAGTGGACATCCTGCGCACAATATGAAACACAAATGGAAGTGGCCGCGGCTCTTTCCTCGACTCCAATGAAAAATCAATTGGCTAAAATGTTTCTTGAGCGCAGCCTTCTGCCCCAGACTAAGACCCACCCGAGACCAACCGTAAAGCCGAAATCGCCATAAATGACCTGTCCCAACACGAAATGCAACACTAGCACCTCCGCCACAACCAAAACGCATGCAAAACCGAACCCTCAACCTGCCCCAAGACAGCTTCCTATTTGGAGTTGGTTTGGAGGTTGGGGTTTGCCCATTTGCCCTCTACAATGTGACAAGGACTAGTTCAATCCCCAAACCACCAATCCAAAATGCCAAATCAGGTTTCCCTGACCAAACCAAGCCGCAACCAAGGCGCAGACCAGGCCAGCCTCAACCCCCTGAACCAACCAAAACGGGTTGCGTGAAACCAAGACCAACAACCCCGAACCTAATCACCCTACTGCCGCACCAAGCCCGGACCAACCTCTCCCCGGAGAAGAGCCTAAACCCTAAAACCAACCCCACCCCCCACAAACCTACCTTAAATCTCCAGAAACCATCTCTATTTGACCCCACCCCCTGCAAACAGCCTTGTGACCAGGGCTGATGAGGCCACCGTCCAGGCAGCTCTGCAGCATGGCATCAGCCTGAAGCAAAGGCAATTTGCCAGCTCGCATTGGCCCAATGGCTCCACATGTTGAGACAAAATCCACCAGCCTGGATGCCCTTCAACTGCTGGTCCCGAGGCTTTAGGTCTTTCAAGACCTGGCACCGGTCGGGGAAATGCCGATGACATCGGATGAATCTGCTGAGAGGAGCCAACCATGAAGCTTATTAACACAAGCCTTCCGCAACTCACCAGTGAGAGGGCAAATACAGCAGTGCCATTCCTGCACAGAGCCATCAGAGCGATCGGAGATATGACAGAGCTCCGCAGCTGCTAGTCCTGCTCGGTGTTTTCAACCCGGACCTTCTCCTCCTCATCCTCGTGATCGCCTTTGTGCATCCAATTCATATGATCTGACCACACAGCCTTCCTCAAAGTGCATGCATCTAGTGCATCTAGCAAGCTACCAGCTTTGCGCGTTCTCGCTCAACGCACCGCCGCAGCAGTCTAAGAAGCATCTGAGCGCAAGGCCATCCTCCTCTTCCTCAGCTGGGTCATTCGCCCCACCCATGTCGGGGAAGCCAACCTCACTCTCGCGGCGAGCACACAAGACTTGCCCGGGTTGTCATAAGCAACTAAGCACGAAAAATGATCGCTCTGTAGCTTGTGGTCAACATGCACTGGCTTGCGCGGATTCCGTGCTGCTTCTGAGCAAACTGGCAGGTTTCTGTCTGTGCTCCAGCTGTCAACTGCCATCATGGACCGCTTAGCTGCCAGCTGCGTATGCATGGAGGAAAACGCGATTACACCAGCGGCGATCCTGGAGTGATGCTCAGGACTCTTTGTCAAATGATTCGCAAGTGCATGCGCCTCGATCATCTGCTTGGCTTTCTGGTAGTAGAACTCTGACACAATGGGCGAGCCCAGCGCTGCTGACCTCAGTGAAAACAACATGCACGCGAGGAAGGCGAGTAAGTCCAGGCGCAGTCATTGACACATGCTCAGCTTCCAGGCTCAATATTCACTCGAAGCAACAAGATTTAAGCGCTCTAAACAACTGCATTGCAGTGTGTTGCTTTGTCATTCTAAGGAAGCGGCATGTGCAGGCGGATTTGATGCATTCGCCCCTCTGCAATCTCACAAGTGCAAAGTGTGTACTCATCCACCTTCCTCAGGCGCAGTGCAGAGATGTCAGTCTAGCTTCAATCCTGGATCTGCTCCACTCTTGCGCAAAGAATGGGAGCCCAGCCCACTCTTGTGAGTGCGAGTGAAATAGCCCAGCACCTGAGCACAAAAGCCAACACCGTCAATGTGCCAAAGCCAGATCTGTGGCACTGTGAAACGTGTGTGTGTGTGTGGCCACCCAAAAACATGCCGTGCCTTCACGTGGGTGCGAGCCCTCTTTCCACGCCGGTCGAGCTTCGCTTTCTGCCCCATGGCCTGTGCAGTGTTGGACCCTCTAAACAAGTTGAATGAGCTGCCGCTGAAAAACGAGGCAACCGGTCAGATGTCAGTTGAAACCGGATCATCCGGAGCAAGCGGATTTTTCTGCAAGCCTCCAAGTTTCGGTCGACAGTCTGCTCTGCCTTGTCGATGAAACCTGAGCTTGGGGAGCTGACACTAGGACTTAAGTCTACATCAATTCATGCTCCGCATGTCGAGGCAAAAACACTGCCTGGCTCTTGGCGTGAGTGCCTGTCGCTTGCAGCCCCTCTTCTAGGATTCTAGCCGTGCGCCAAGCAAACGTACCTGATACCAAAGGTGCAACTCTGCGACCGAAGCTAGGCACATCCCCAATCAACGTGAGTTCCATGCACAATTGAAAGCTTCAACATTCCTCTCATTTGCTTCCCTGTGGTCCGAAGGCGCACAGCTTTCGGACGTAGTGTCGGTGGAAGCACTCCCGCATTTGTGTGCGGCATCTTTTGGTGATGCCAACAAGCACAGTACCTGGCAAACCCGACAATGTTAGACAGCACCTCATCAACCAACTCCAGCGGTCAAGCAAATACCTGCTACCCTTCTAATTAACGAAGAGACGTGCTTTCCAAATGCTTTTGCAGAGCAAGGCACCGCTGGTCTCTCTGTCCAGCCGGTGGCAAAGCCCATAGTTCTGGTCCTGGCGTGGCTCACATCTACTTAGCTTCTCGGAAGCTTGCTTTTTCACAAGCGCGCGCAGCAAGACCACATCGAACAGGTTTGGGAAATGTTCGCGGTTCGCTTCGTGAGTCAGCTGGATCCACCAGTGGATGTACCTGACGCAATTCAAGATTGAGCAGCTGCGGCTTCAAGCCGCTCTGCTGAATGCCGGAACCAGCGAAAGCATCCCGGAGGGCACTTCTTCTCACGCTCCGCAAACTTGTAGTCCAGCAGGTCTTTCATGATCTGCGCTCAGCAAGGACTGGGCAAGCTTTGAGACTTTGTCAGTCACTCCTGCCTTGAAGCCCTTGTTGCGCAAATCTTCATTTGGGTCAAGCTTGCGGCCCTTCTTCTTGTCCACATCACTGGCCTTCAGCTTCGGCGTGGCAAAGGCTGGATGCCAAGATCTGAATTCCAATGGGATCAGGAGTGCCCAGTCTGAGAAGCAGGCGGAGCAAATCCAGTCTGCAGGCTTCTGCACTACCTCACTCGTACATGGTCAAAGTGTGTTTGCCGATACGTGTCAGCCCCCACCGGCAGGCCTAGAAAAACGCAAATAATAAGTCAATCCAACATTAGCGCTGTGAGAACTTGCCTCTCTTGTCCGAAACCAGTTCCGGACTCCGGGCTGGCAAGCCAATTTGCGTCGTACCAGGAAAGGGCCAATCCTTGCATTCTGGCGGCACAAATGTCCTGGCCCTTCCAGATCATGTTGGGATACTCCACGATCATCACCCGCCTTCCCTTGGTCGTGGCATGCATTCCGATGCATTCCGATGCATTCCGAGGCCAAGGTTCCCCAGGCGCCAAAGCCTGAGTCGGTGACCCGGTCCCTCAGCTTCTCCTGGCACGGTGCAGGCACCGCCTTGACTCCTCCTCAGCGAGGTGCGCCTCGGAGTGGAGTGATCCGCCCCGGAACATAGCAGTCAGCAAGCCGCCTGGCAGAGAGTGAAACCGCCAGGCTTTTGAGGCCAACGAAAGGACGATGGATTGGCCAGAGGCTTTCTACGCCGACCATTGCTGGTCATGTGTATGGTGTGTGTGCAGATTTGGTTTAAAGCTAATCCGGCATGCATCCGTCACTAGCCTTGGGTGGCTTCCTTACCCAGTGATGGTTCTGATAAGCCCTTTCACTCATGCACTTCTCTTTGGAGTTAGTTGTTCTTGGATTACATGAAAATCGATATACTTTTCAAATGTCTCTCTGTCCCACTGAAGAGTGTGTAGGCGTGTCTCAAGCGGCACCTCCACTGCTCTCTTTCGTCGCTGTGCCGTCGTCCCCGGACAGCCCCAGGCTCTCCATGTCCGAGTCCTCACAAGTCACGAAGGCGGAGAGAGCTTGAGCAGGCATGCGAAGGCATGAGAAGCCAAGAATCCGCTCTAGCAGACAGAGGACGAGACCGAGGCGAAAAGCGGGCAAAAAATGAGATAAAGGAAAAGCACGCAAGAGACAAGCAAGCAAGAAAAGCCCGAAAAGAGTGAAGAGAAGCAAGGAAAAAGGCAGACAGAAGAGCAGGGAACATGGCTACTTGAGAAAAGCAGGGGAAGAATCAGCCTCAAAGAGGAGAGAACTACAGGGGGGAACGGGGGATACATGTGATTTTTGGCCATGCTAGCTTGCTCGATCAAACACTTCAGCCAGTTGCATCTAGCTTTCACGACAAAGCAAAACCGATCCCATCAAATTTGGGAGTACGGCATCTGCCAACTTTACTCGTTCAACCAGTCAGGCACCAGTCACTTCCTTCCACTCACGCTTGAGACTGAGCTCCAGACAGAGAAATGGAGTGCGTCCAAGTCTGAGCCTCCGTAGCTGGCCTCAGCTTTGGCTCCAGCTCAGGGCCCAAAGTTTCGATTGGGAATGTCTCAATGTCCTCTTGGCTTCTTGTTCATTCCCGATCCTTCCCGATTCCACGTTCGTCCATCCGAAACCATGGCAGCCTTGACCCGAATGCCTCAGGCCGCAGCGGCCTCCGATTCGGAGTCCCACGCTCCCATGTCGTCAAGGTCCACGGACTCCTCCTCCTATTGTGAGGGCATCGAAGTGAGCACTGACAAAGAACATGACACATCTTACAGTTTGGCCCTGGGAAGCTACAACTGTCATAGGCAATCAGTGTAAAATGGGTGAATCATGATGAAGCAAAGGTAGGCATAGACATGCTATGTTTGCAAGGAGTGATGCTCCTCCCCCTCATCGTCATCCTCCTCGCCAGCCTTCAAGCGAACATGGCATGTATACAGTCAATACAGTGTGCAAAATGATAATTCCATCTTCACCACATTTAGGAAAACCGGGCCTTGTTGTCGGTTTCTGCCTCCTTCGCATCCGTCTCATCTTCCTCCTAAATGAGCCAAAGTAGTCATAGCTTGTGGGCCCTTCCCACATTTGGCTGTACCCCAGCTATTACTATCCCCAGCTGCACCGCACTCTCTATAAGCGTACCTCATCCTCTGCATCCTCCTCTTCATCCGCTTCATCCACCAAAGCCTGGCGCAGGAGTATGTTGGAGGTCTGGCAACATCGCCTCCTCGGGCATGTCGGCACCAGCTACAAGAAAGGCAGAACAAATCTCTGCAAGATGAAAGCGTGGCTCACAAATCCGCCGCAGGGCACACTCGAAGCCCCTACCTGTTAGCTCTGGTTTGGCGCGCCTTCAATGCATCCCAGCCAGCCTCATCCTCAGACACCTGGGCCACCCAACGCAGAGATTTAGAGGCCACCATAATTTTGACTGGCTCAGCTTTTCCTCTGGTAGCAAAGCATGCTACATGTGATTGTTCTTGTTTTGTGGGGGAACTCTGGGTGGGTGCACACTGCTGATTGAGGGTGATTGATTTACGGTGGTAGAACTAGGGTTGGTTTAGAGGCCGGGGTTGGTTGGCTTGGAGTTGAGGGCCAGGGTGGATTCTCGCGCTTCAGGAAAGTTTGGGTGGGTTTCCTGCTTGATCTGACGGGAATGTAGCCTTGGTTTAGAGTTGGTATCAGGCCACTATCGGCTCAGTTGGACCTCAAATGAAGGGTTGGCTGGCTGGTTGGCTTGGGGTGGGCTTGGCGTTGCTTTACGGTGGATTAAGAGTACAGGCTTGCGGTGGGTTTGAGGGCAGGTTGGGAGGGCTTGGGTTGAATGATCTGGCTGGTTTCGTGCTTTGTTTCAGGGCTGGGTGGCTGTGGGTGGTGGGAACACTTGCTGGCTGGCAGTAGCTGACTCTTGCTGATTCACGTGCACCTCTATACGGATTTGTGGACTCACTGAACACGCATCGTGCACCTTGCGAGTTCCTGGCATGCAATGCTTCATTGACAGCCTTGCGAACCTGGCACATTGTCTGTTGCACATCAGCTGATTGTTCTAAGACCAGCTTGACCTAGCGCAAACTTCTACATGCCTCTCCCCACCTCTGCAGAGATGTCCGCTCGCTGCAGTGCAGCACTGACTGCCTGTGAGGCTTACTTGCACCGCATCACAGCTACCATGAGTCGCCGTTCACCTGATAAACAGGATCTTGGACAACATCTACACTGAAGAGAGTTCCAACAAATTTGAAGCTTCTCTATTTGGATTCCTCCTCTGCAAATGATGCGAATCCAGCCTGAGGGTTGCCCCGCTTCCCTTGGTCTATCTGCAGCACCTGTCCAAGAGTGGGCTCCTTTCTCAACATCGGAGGCTTCCTGGGGTGGCCACGCACTCCAAAACCTCCGTGCCCGACTCCTTGGATAAGGACCTTGGCAGCTCCAGGCCACAAGCCGAAGACGGCATTGACAAGCTGCAAGATTTCTCGCTTCTCTCCGGCCGAGGCTGTTTGGTGACACTCTGCGCAAGTTTCTGCAGTACCGCCTGGCGACATATCCGTTGAAGGCAAGGCGCAGCCTTCTTCCAGCACCAATGAGCATCGTCCATAATCTATATATATATATGCTACCCCCCCCCCGGTACCCAGGTTTGGGCTTGGTTCAGATGTGCTTTGACCGCGGAAGCAGGCAGGAAGAATAGCTCAGATTTGCACACTGGGAGACCAGAGGAAGGAGGTTTGCCTCATTGAAGAAAGACGCCTTGGACGTGACCCATGCCCTTTTCAATTTTTCAATGGCTCTTCCAGACAAAATTCAATTCACATATCTTCCCACACAAACCATGCCTTCTTTCAAAGGCTCTTCCACAGATAACTCACATATCTTCCCACACAAACCATGCCTTATTTCAAAGACTCTTCCACAGAAAATTCACACATCCTCTCACCCAACACATGTCTTTTTACATGTCTTCTTTCAATGAAACAAAGGCAGCATATGTGAAAGAGTTGCCAAGGAAAGAGAACCCTGTGTAGAAAAAAACCAGGCTATGGCTGGGACAGTTTGTGTTACATAAATGGTGGCTTTACATGATATTTACTGTCTTTTGCTGTACTATTATGAATCACTGTAACCCTGACTCTTCCACAAAGACTCACATATCATCTCACACAAAACATGTCTTTTTCAACAACTCTTCTCTACAGAAAATTCACATATCCTCTCACCCAGAACATGTCTTCGTTCACAAAGGTTCACATATCCTCTCACCAAAACATGCCATTTTTCAAATGCTCTTCCACAGAAAGTTAACATATCTTCCCACACCCCTTCTTTCAAAGACCCTTCCACAGAATATTCACATAACTCTTCTCTACAGAAAATTCATTCATCCTCTCACCCAAAACATGTCTTTTTACATGCCTTCACAAAGGTACACATATCCTCTCACCAAACACTCACCCAAAACATGTCTTTTTGCATGCCTTCTTTCACAAGGAATCACATATCCTCTCACCAAACCCATGCCCTTTTCAATTTTTCAATGGCTCTTCCAGACAAAATTCAATTCACATATCTTCCCACACAAACCATGCCTTCTTTCAAAGGCTCTTCCACAGATAACTCACATATCTTCCCACACAAACCATGCCTTGTTTCAAAGACTCTTCCACAGAAAATTCACACATCCTCTCACCCAACACATGTCTTTTTACATGCCTTCTTTCAATGAAACAAAGGCAGCATATGTGAAAGAGTTGCCAAGGTGTAGAAAAAAACCAGGCTATGGCTGGGACAGTTTGTGTTACATAAATGGTGGCTTTACATGATATTTACTGTCTTTTGCTGTACTATTATGAATCACTGTAACCCTGACTCTTCCACAAAGACTCACATATCATCTCACACAAAACATGTCTTTTTCAATAACTCTTCTCTACAGAAAATTCACATACCCTCTCACCCAGAACATGCCTTCTTTCACAAAGGTTCACATATCCTCTCATGCTCCGCAAATGTTGCGCAACATTTGGAATTTGTTGCGCAACATTTCCCTGGACCAAAAAAACCAAAAAAAATCCCAGCCATGGTGGGGGCTAGGATTGGGTTTTTGGTTTTGTTGTCTTTTTTGTTTTTTTTGTTTTTTTGGTTTTTTGGTTTTTTGGTTTTTTGGTTGTTTGGTTGTTTGGTTGTTTGGTTTTTTTTGCTCCACAAAATGGCCTTGCAGAAAATGCATGAGTGCAATCAAAATACACTGTAAATATCAATGGTTTTGATACATGATGCAACAACACCTGGGTACTGGGGGGGTACCATATATATATATATATATGTGTGCATCACAATGCGCTTTAATATCTGCGCCGGGCCTCCAGCGTCTCCGCTGTTTGAAAGGCGATCGCCTAAGCTGGACAGCACCGATCGGCCAAAGAAGTACCCTTGTGCCAGCACAACTCTTAGGCCTGGAGAAAGTCCGTGCCATACAAAGGAGCATCAACCCTTTTGGACGCGGGCCATAGCTGCCAGCTGGATCTCTGCATTCCACGTCCCGTTGCCTTGGGCAAGTCATCCCCAGGCAATGAAGGACAAATCTGGCACAGCAGGAATCAGCGGATCCAAGCTATCGGCCAATGATGCGAAGCATTTCCGCGAGCCTGGAAAACACTGTTTCGAACAGCCATGCAAGCAGGAGCTGAGTATCTAATTCCAAACTTGACTTCATGGCCCACGATGTCAAACGCGCGCGAGACATTGCATGAGTTCCTTGTCGATGTTGATGCTTTTCAGCATCAACATTACCTACAACAGCGCTCGTGGAAATACACACCTGGATTGTTGGCGACATCCCTTTGGGATCTTGCATGGTTTGAACTTGCTCATCGTGAGCGTCTAAGCATTTCTGGACACGTTGACGCAGTCTTATCCATGCAGGCTCAGCTGGTGCACATGCTGGTCTGGGACTGATGGTGCACACTGGTGATGTGACACTGATTTGGCGAGGATGATGATTGGAGCGCAACTCTGTTGCTTTCAACACTTCATATCTTTCATTCTTTGCTGGAGGAATACGAATGGTGCAACAAACTATTATGTGCATTTCTTTAGACGCGGAATGGTCCTGTTGTTCTGAGTATATTTTGCACAACCTTCGACCGGCCGCGAGGTTGTAAGTGCCGCGGCAACTTGGGTGGCATAGCCGCTGGCTTCCAGAACAATGATACTTGTGAGCAGGAATTAATCTAGCCCCACATGTTCCTCCCCTGCAACCTCTTGCGTGCTCGACATTGATTGTAGGGATGCTTTTGGCGGATCGATGCTGGGAGAGAGGAAAACCAAAGTGATACCACCAACAAACTCGAGATTCCACGCTGTCAAGACATCACATATGACCCACAAATGCTGCTGAACGGTAAGAACATTAAGCAACATCGTGTGATGGCAGCCCCATTTCAAATTGTCTTTCTCAAGGCCTCTCCGCCCGGGAGCCGCATTTTGTAATTGGTCTGTCTACGTGCCATTAGCCATTGGATTTGCGAGCGGCAACTGTCTGTGCTTTTGCTTGCGGTGTGAAAGTGACGTCGAGTACTTGCCCGTTTTTTTTCTACGGGCCACTTACTTGTTGTTGCACCGTGCGTTTCAACACGCAAAGCACCCACAATTGCACGCAAAGCACCCACATTTGCATGCTGCAATTGCGAGTGGCGCTGGGTTTCAATCGGCGTTCACGATTTGTGTGCAGTAAAAATATGCTCTTCATTGGCTACATTTATCTGAAATCGTATGTGAAAGTGAGGACACTTGCTTTGGGCCGTTGGTGTGCCACGTGTTTCTCGTTTTTCGCGCAGCTACAGTTGTTTTGAACCGGGATTGAAACCAACGCGCGGTCCCGCAGTGGGCATTCATGTTTCACGCGAAAATGCATCTCTCACCTGAACTTCCCAGGTTTACGAGAGATGCAAAAAGCCCCGTACTCGCCACCGTCTTGGATGCTAAAAAAGAGCGACTTCCGCCACGACGAGCCAGTGTTTGGGGCACAGCGGCTGTCCTGTTTTTGGGCGCATGCGTTGGGCAAGCACGGGCAAATCATGCAGAAACCGGGCTCAACCCAGTCAGCAGCTGGTCATTAGCCCTTCTCTATGAAAATGCTGAACGAAAACTCACGAAGTTGATAAGAGTTGGTCTCATGCCCCAGCATATTGGCTTTTGCGTTGCTGACGCGCAATCAGCCACTTGCGAACAGGAAGGCGATCGACGCACCCAGCCCGCACTGTGTCAAAACCCTTTGTAACAGACTAACGTCATTGCCATGCGAAAAGTGGCTGCAAACACGTGCGGAAAAGTTGCTTCCGCAAGAACTGCTGAACGACACCTCCCACCGATTGGTTTGAAGCCCCCAGCAGCTATGCCTGTGACACTGTGGCTTTGCGCCACGCAGATTGCGGACCACTTTGATTGGCGTTTGTTGCGAGTCCGATGCTCGGGTCCAGCCCTTCCTCTCTCAAAGCAAACCCTTGTCAAGGTATTTTCCTGAGGGCGCAATGCTAATCTGCCCGGTTCTTGGGGCCATCATCACACGGACATGCACTTCTGGCTACAGCATTTCCACAACAATCCGGCTGCATGGCCTTAAGCCAAGCAATCTAAAAGCATGGTGATGGCTGCAGTTTCTGACACCCGTCATGCAAGGCCAGGGAGCCAAATAGAGTGTAAGAAAACCTGTGCGGGCATTTACAACCATCAAATCACGGGTGCAAAATCATACTGCGTTTACTAGACATGCATTAGAAAGTCGCGTTGTTGACTGGAATAAAGGCACGTCCATGAAAGTAAGCAAAAACCAATGTAGTTCTTGCAACTGTAAAGGGTTTGCGGCGCACACAAGCCAATGCTGCAAACACAAGCCAATGCTCCCAATCTTGTCAGCAGCACGCGCTGGCAGCATCGGCATCTTCACCTGCACATGCAGAATCCATTCATCAAGATAAACACCACGTCATGCCACGTCCAGTGCAGGCAGGGCTTCCAAGGCAAAGCTAAGTTTGACTATTGATTTCGCGGTGACGACCCAGCAAAGCACAGCTGCTGACCTGGCTGTGGTACTCCCAGAATCAGCCGGAGCACGCTCAAATGAACGTCTCCTGGCATTTTAAGGGACCAGGAGGTGCTCAGGTGCCATGGCATGCGCAAGAACCAGCCCAGCTCGGAGCTGCATGTCAATTCTCAGCTGACTGTTTCTTGTGCACAACAACGGTTCACTGACCATTGTGCCAACTCCTCGGAATAGAATGCAAACCTCGATGGCCCTCTTTGAAACAACTCGTTTCGTTAGAAGCTCTGGCCTTGCGACCTCTGAACTGCAACACCCGCCTGAAAGGCTCTTAGCTTTGGCGAGGCTTCTGAGGAGATCGGCTTCTCGCCATGCCTGGCAACGAGGGCTATCATGAATCATGGCTATCCGATGACTTGGTCCTATGACGTTTTTGGAGTCAACTGCGGCAAAGGTGCGCCAGTTTCATTCCATCTCTGAGTGCACGTGCGAAGTGTTGGGAACCTTCTGAAATTGTCTTCAGCGAGAAATCTCCCAGGCCAGCACAGCAAGACAAACATACAAGACTCAAAGTGCAACAAAATTGAAAATTGCGCTTTGTGGGCGGCGAATGTGTGGCAAACTTGGAACCCTTGGGCCGGACTCGGTCCAAGTCTTCCCTGGGACGACCACCCCCCCCCCCCCAACACGCCCCGACCTCGGCATCCGCCTTGGGCGGATCCTTCAGCAGGAGGGCGAGCCTGGACACTAGGAAAGAACAAAAACCAAGACACCCTGCAACTGCCTGACAGAAATCGAGGCCCGACAAGTCGCACCAACCCCACGGGCACCCCGGCGCAGTGAGCTGATGCTCACGCCTCCAATCAAGCCTGACGCTTCTCCCTTGGCCATGACCAGTGCACTTCCTTTGGGGGGAGGGACTGGGATGTTCTACTGGCACATTGCGTGACAACCTTCCAACCGCAAGCGTCATCACAGACTGAGCACCATGTGTCAAATAAATGGCAACCAGTTCATGGGTAGTGGAGCCACGTTACAAACTAGCACGACAAAAGCAAAAGGTGGCCAGCCTCACCAAACGCCGCGCAATGGCCTCTTCGAGGCAGTCCTGCATTTGATCCAAAGCTTGGTTTCAGCTCAAACTGTTGGGCCCTCAATTGTTCACTCAGAATCTTCACCGCTACGTATGACACATTTGCAAAGGAAATGTCAGGAACCGTTGCACGCGACGCGGGCCGTGGCGGCCGATCGTGAAACTGTGGTCTGCACGCCATCTGGTCATACACATTTTCAGCGCACAGGTCGCTCTGTGTGTCGTCCGAATTACAAACACATTGGCACTCATGTATACCTATATATATATATATATATCAGGCATAAAGATGTCCACCTTTGCTTTTCTGCGCACAGCAAGTCGGAATTTGCCAACTAAACACTAGCCCTCAAGCAGGGAAACTATCTTTTTTTTGCATTTCAGCTTGTGGGATAAGTTGCAGACCGAAGAGAAGCAGGCCCGCCGACATTTCCCAACTTCCGCAAAACACGAATTCAGGAAATGCCCCCCTGGCCTGAGGACACCAGGGCCTCAGATGCTGTTCTGAGAGCGCAACTCTGCGCTGCGTTTTCGCGCTCGCCTTATGAAGGTGGACGCAAGCTGTCTTCGCAGCCGCCCACCTTCCCTGAACCAACAGCTTGTTGAACTGCTCGTTGGAAAACAGAGCCCTCCATTTGCACACTCCGTCCACTCTTCGAATTTCCTGGCGGCGTCTGGCACATGAACAGCGGTGCTTTCAGTCCCCAAATGCTTTCCTTGCTTTGTGAGCCAAAGTGAAACCACAGTGACAGGGGCTTTCCAGTCCACTGAAACTTGTCTTGCCTGCACCGCAAGCCGTTCCCTAGTTCTCAGCAGCCCACAAAAACCCAACAACAAGAACAGAGCAAACTCATGCTCTTCTTGAAACAGGGCCCGCCCTACAAGGGCCTTTTCAGGTAGGGGCGCCAATCTACATGACCAAGACGAGGCGCCATGCTGCAAGGGGTTTGTGCTTCAAACGCAGGTCGGTCTCTTGTAATTCAGCAACCATGCGAAAGTTCTGGGACGGAATGTGAATTTCCTCCTGGTTCAAAGTTTCAAGACCCTTTCGTGTCAATGCTTTCTCCCTTTGCGCCCAGTCTTCGTCCGTGTAAAACGGATCACCCTTCGACTCGGCCGATGGTGAGTGGGAACGTACCCCCGAACAGGGTAGTGTGACGGGACACCAGGAGAAGAGACGGATCAAGGTGCGGCGCAGCTTTTTGCTGGAAGATCTGCCCCAACAAACCAAGGAAGCAGTCAAGTCAAGCCACCGTTTCGCATCAGCACTTCTGCTCACACCGCCACCGAATTGTGTTGAGAACCGCTCTTAGTTCTAGCACACTGATGTGGTCAGTGTGGAGCTCCCACGCCCGAAGCCTATGGAAACGTGTTGACTGTTAGGCCGCAACAACAGGCCCTCGACCTTGACAGACGCTACATAAGAAGGACCTACCCGGTCCTCCCGGCTTGAACAAGGCTACAAGTGTTGCAGCTCTCTGAGGACACATGCGCAGGTCCAGGTCCAAGTACACCTCACTCACCTTGCCATCTGCATTAGCTTCCTCCAACCATTCTCAGGCCTGGCACGCAGGTCCAAGGCCACCACTAAGTTGCTCGCACTCATCGTCTTGGAAGGCTCGGCCGCCTCATCACGCCCCACCTCGCATCTCACCTCGCAACAAGTTCCTAGAAACAATAATCGGGATTTGGCCCTGCCTCGCATCTCTCCAGCTGACCCTCACTGATCTCCTCACTCTTCTCCTCTTCAGCCATTCCCGTGTAGGCCGAGACCTCTTGTGAGTCCCAGGGGCAGCCCCCTCACCTTGAGCTACCCAGGCCAGGGCAGCAGACGTTCTTTCCGGGTAGGAGAAAACCCAGCAACGGCGCGCGGCCCTCCCTCACACGCCGAAATCGCCCCAAAAGAGGAGCTCGTGATCACACCCTCAGTGTCCAAGCGAATGGCCTCAAGGCTCACCCAGACACCACACACCACAAAGGAGGCATGGAGGTTCTCCGCAGTCAAGGAGAACAGAGCTAATCAGACGTGGCTGCAGCAGACACCTGGGCTTCATCTTTACCCACGAAACACATATATATATATATATATATTAAGTACCCCCCATGGACCCTGGTTTGGTGAGCCTTAGCTTTGTTGTTTCCAGTGTTTTGTGCCTTTTTTGCCTCCTTGATTTTGTGGCAAAATGGGGAAGGCATATGTATGTATATATATATATATATATATGCTACCCCCCCCCCCCCAGGGACCTACCTTTTGGCTGCCTCTCCAGTGCATGAATTGCCCATCTAGGACTGGAAGGAACGATCTCTCAACTAGGACCAGGACCAAATGAGTCTAGAACCCAGGATCTCTGAACTGGGACTAGGACCAAACTAGGACTAGACGACCCACCTCAGATTCTTGTAAAAAATGAACTTCAAGTATAACTTCCTCTGCAATGTCCTGTATATTTTCAAATTGTTGCAGCAAACTAGGGAGCAACCTAACACTAGAACCAAGGATCTCTCATCTAGGACCAAACTAGGACTAGACCAGTTAATTCTACTTCTTATAGTATTTGGATGTCAAGTATTACATTCTGGTGGAAAAAAAAGTCCTGTTTAATATTTGGTCCTAACATGTAAATTCTGACTGGATATTCTCCTTATTTCAATTTCACTAATATATTAAGTACAATTCATAACGAACTTCCTTTGTAATGTCCTTTATACGTTCTATGTATTTCAGTAAGCTGGGACCATACTTGGCCTATAACCAAGGATCTCCCAACTAGGACTAGGACCAAACTAGGACTAGCTAGTGCTGAAAGTGATTGAATTTCAATGTACAATGGTCTATTGGACAGAAAATAGTTTGTACCATTTAATTTGACATAAACAGTCAATATTTAAGTTCGAATCTAAATCGCAATTTTGGCTGGAGTATGTCCTTCTTAAGCTCCATTGAATTTCAATCAGAAATAAGGTTGAATTTGATAAAACATTCCAAGTGGAATGCATAAGGAAAGAATCCAAAGGTCCCAAACTTGTGCCTTCACTAGTCCTAACACTACCTTGGTCAGAAAACACCGTAAAACACAGTGTTGTGTAGCGTTTTTCATACTCAATTCACATCTCCACCAACGAACGCTCTCTAAATGCTCATGTGAACTTGAACAGGATTTAATTGGGACTCAATACGGACATATTTGGTCAGAATCCTAATGGTAATCAAATTTGAGATTGCGAGTTTAAATAGAGTTCCTTTCCCAATATATACTTGCAATTCAATACGAGCTTTAACAGGATTTGATAAGGAAAGAACCCATATTCTCTAGACAAGTTTTCTTTGCAAACGCGAGTCCAGGCCCGAGTGAAACCCATTGAGACCGACTGAAATTTCAGTTGAGCCTGGGATCAAGATTGCCTAGAAAACTTTGACCTGCAATCTTGAATGTGGGCCTAGATTGAAACAGATTTAACGAATAATCAGGACTTGGATGCTTGCACAACACTGTGCTAAAGTACAGCCGCGCAAAGTACAATGTTGAATTTGGGTCTCGATTTAAACCGATTTAAATAGATTTAACTTAAATCGGGCATGGATTCAAGATTCAAGATTCAAGAATCCAGGCCAAACTTTTGCAGGGATTCTTGAATCCAGGCGTCGATTTAAACCGATTTAAACCGATTTAACTTAAATCGGGCATGGATTCAAGATTCAAGATTCAAGAATCCAGGCCAAACTTTTCCAGGGAGTCTTGAATCTTGAATCTTGAATCCATGCCCGATTTAAGTTAAATCGGTTTAAATCGGTTTAAATCGACGCCTGGATTCAAGAATCCCTGGAAAAGGTTAGCCTGGATTCTTGAATCTTGAATCTTGAATCCATGCCCGATTTAAATTAAATCGGTTTAAATCGGTTTCAATCAAGCCTGAAGCTTCTAGAACGTCCTTGGAAATGCTTCTTTTTCATTGTTCTCCCCAAAGCCCAAAAAAGGTAGAAAACACTGCAAATACCAGTGAATTCATCAAAAAGGTAGGTCCCTGGGGGGGGGGTACCATATATATATATATATATACATATTTACATATATACATACATACGGAATGTAAGTAATGATGACAGAGTGTGCATGCATATCAGAGTATTCGGAAACTTTGTTTTTTTTTTCTCTAAAATTATTGAATCTTCAATCTCTGAATTATTTTCTTGTTTTAATCCAAGGTTGTCCCAATACTCGAGGTGTTCAATACATACTTCTGCAACCACGTATGCGCACCCATCTGCGGTCACACAATCTGCACCCTCCAAGTTCCCGCAATTTCTGGAACTAAACTGAGAAGACTAGATTCTCGGAAAAGCTGTCTGTGAAAGGTTTCAATCTTGAATCTTCAATCGGTGGTAAACTACGTTGGAGGTTTTAGAACAACTTGAAAGTTTGTTGGGGTTGGCCAGGATGGACGATTCTCAGGAAAGTTGTTGCCTGTGCAATCTTCAATTTTAAATTCAAAATCCGGTGGTCAAGCACTTTCAAGTGCTAGAAGAGCTTGAATGTATGTTGTTTGGGGTTGGCCCAGTATTGACGATTCTCAGGCAAGTTTGCTGTGTAATCTTGAATATTGAATCTTCCACCCAGTAATAAAATACTTTGAAGTGCTTAGTGATCCAATGGAAAAACTTTCAAGTTCTTAAGTAGACAAGCTTTCAAGTGCTTTTGGTGAGCGGTATGCTTCATGTAAGCTGTGCTCATGTTGAGCCTTTTCCAGGAGGTAAAGCTAGGTGTACATTTCAAGCGATTAGAGGTTTAAATTCCAAAACTATCTCGAAACAGGGATTCTAGCTAAGTTCGTTGAATTTAACGTCTTGTTTGGACAGGAACTCATACTTCATCATCATTCTACCATTCTTACGCTACAAAGGGCCGCAATGTACATAACACAACTCGTATTTCGAATTTCCTTGTAGAAGTTCATTAAATGTTTAGCCATATTGAATATGAACGATATTTGAGAATTAGTTTCTATTAAGTTGTTATCAAAAGCTACTTGAATTATGTCCGCATTGGGCTATGGTTAATATTTATAGATTATATGCTGAATTATATTTGGCAATAAACTCATCTATTTTTGTTGCTAAAGATTAGATTGATTTTACCCGAAATTTGATTTACATGTTCATTGATGTAACTCCTATGTGGAAAGGAATTGTTTACTAGTTATATTTGAACATAAAACACAGTGTCGAAGACTATATATCCTTACTAAGTTCTATTCAAAATTATGATTTTAGTTGAAGTAAAATCCAATTTGGGAAGAATCTCATATTGTGACATTTCGGAGGACTCGGCTCCCAATTATGAGGCTTTGGGAGGCCCAAAATTGGACATTTCGAGAATTTAAATCTCTAGATTCTAGATTTATCATCACTAAGGGGCACCAAAACCAGGGTTTTTTTTTGGGGGGGTGCATGTGAGTATATATATATATATATATGTAAATACTACACATATGTGCATGATCATACACCCTTGCTGTCTTGGACGTCAAGCATAGAATGGCGACTGAACATGGCCATCGCACAACAAAACCAACGCGCTCGAACCCATCCAGTTCAACTGCGATCTGTACGTCTAACATCAGCATGCTTCACATCTTCCGGTTTGTTTTTCGAAACAAGGACTGTGGTGTATATTATAAACAGGGTGGGTCTCCTTCATGTTCTAAGTGTGTCTTAGCCTGGACATGCAAGCATCATAGACTTGCTTCGTGCTTGTTGCATTGTTGTGTCTAGTGCTCCGACAGACAGCCAGAAGATGATGCGCCGGGAAAACGTGTTCCGGATTCTTGGAAGGCAATATGAATCCCATTTGGGCCCAGCACAGTTGGGCCAGGGAGATTAAACCTGAAATTTCGGGGAGGGCTATAGATTCAGCCGCAATCTGCGGAAGCCAGCTTGTCAAAGATGAGCATGCTCTTCCGAAAATACATCCGCAATCCACGTGTTCCCTCCAATTAAAGATCAGCCCTCACCATAAAAGGGCCAGTCCCTTCCTTTAGACATGCTCTTCTACCCCGCAAGGATTGATCCTTGTTGGCTGCAAGGGAGACGCCAACGAGCACCGCCAACGCCTGCCAAGCGGAGCTTTGAAGTAATGAGCCTTCGAGGAAACAAGCTGGCCGACGCCAGGCCTTGCCAAAAATTGCCTATGTGGAAAGTCCTACGGAGCAGGGCCTGAAGCTTCAAATTATTCTAACTTGGGAGTCCAGTTATGAGTCGCGCAAAGTGTTCTTCAACGACCGGCGAAGCACGATAGCTCATTGATGACAGCTCTGGTGGCTGACACAAACAACTCCCACAATAGCCAAGTGTTGCCTGCATGTCAGCATCATTGGCCTTGAAATATCCGCATGCCATGCATGCTAAAGGAATCACTTCGAACGGTGCCTTGATCGTAGCTGAGTCTGCAGAACTGTGAGCCCAGCAACTGGCGGCCAGGCCGTGGAGCCTGCATCATGCCGAGAGTTTCACAACCGGTTCCAAGACTTGCTGGATCCCTTGTCAATCAAACCTGGAACACGCGCAATATCCGGAACACACTAGGCTCCAAGGATGTCATGTCATCTTCTGTTGAAACAATACTGCCTTGCCAGGACTTTCACCGGCTCTGGCTTTCCCAATCTCAGAGCCTGGGCTGGGACTGACAAAGAGAAATGCGTGAAGCACAGTTTGCAGACATGGTCATCACAAAGAAGAATAAAGGACACGATATTGTCTGCTATGCAGGCCATGCAACGTGTGCAAAAGCCAACAAATCCCCGGACCTTATCTGAGGTGTCAGCACAGGCAATGCAGCCTCGAGTTTGCTCCTGCAGCATCAATCTGGAAAATGAATCCGACCACAACAATGCAAATGCACGTAACGGGCCGCATGGACGCACGCCCGGCCTCCGAGTATCCGCCAGTTGCTTGATTGGACACCTCAAGCACACGTGCTCGGGCATCCAGGGCAAATCAGCATGGTGCTACATGCCTTCGTTCCATGCCTGAGCCGCTACATTCCACTGCGCCCCCAGGCCGAAGATAGAAAGTCTGACATGCCACCCAGGATAGCCAGCATGCCGGCAGGCGGAGCACCTGCTATGGCGCAGGAAGCGAGAGGTGATTGATTCTCACAACGATCTGCTGCTTCGCTGAGTGCAACGTGCTAGATTTGGTGACATAATCCACCTTTAACCGCTACAACCTCTGATGATGCGGGTGAGCACACACGTGCTTCGGAGTTTCTCTTTAGCGGAAGAAAGGGCTGTGCAAGTCTTGGCTGCTTCTGTGCCTCAGCAAACCAGGTCCCATGCCAACCAGTGCCAGTGCACAAGCTGACTCTCACAACGCTCGCCTGTGCCGCCATCATCTAATCCGGATTCGATATTCTTCTATTCCGGACGCGTTGCCTTCCTATGCAATCCCCTCGAAATGGCAATTGTTGTCTGTCTCCATTCTTCAAAATCACACCTCAGTCAGCTCCAGTCCTCAACTCCCCCCACCCTGTGCAATGCCATCTCCTCCCATTCCATCCCGTTGTACATCATTCAGCTCAGTTTCTGCTATGTTTGCTTGAAGCAAGCAGAAGTTACGTTTTTGCATTCTCAAAGGTCGAACAGTTTGCTATGCATGCTCTCGTTCACTGTTTTCCTCTCTCTCGCTCTCTCTCACTCTCTCTCGCCCTCTCTAATCACAGCATGAATGAGCGGATGCTCAACAAGCACCCTGGATTGCATGGCTCTGAGAGAGCATTGACATTCCCATACCAATCATCCCGCCCTTTTTGCAGGCCTGCAGGCCGTGCCGGTGCGCCTGCCGGATTTCAAATCATTCACGAGCTTGGCAAATGGAATAATTAAGTTAAATAATCAAACATGAATATCCGCATGACCCCATGCGACCATCTGAAAAGCCCTGAAAGGCTCTATCGCCCTGAGAAGGCAAGCCTGCTGCCGCAGCTTTGGCTGCAGGGGCGCTTCCTGTCACTCTGCGAGGAATGAAACCATCAAGTGGCACCCAGCAGCCGTCCGTCTGATTTTCATCCCATTTCGTCGCATCACTCACTTCACCCGAACCTGCTGGCCGCGGTGCTGCAGCGGTGCTGCTACCAGTGCTGCCTACCCCAGGTCTGTTTTCATTCAATAGCCCACACAAAGAACTAGTTGCCAAAGTGGCCAAAGTTGCAAGCCACCTCAAGTGAAGCAAACATGCTTTCCTGCCACAACACAGCCCGCCAACCCAATCGAAGCAAACAACATCTCAAAGCACGGACGCAGATCCCGGAACGTGGGTCTTCAGAAACTGAAATGCTAGTTTGCTAGTTTATGATCTCTCCAGCCTCTCAATCCTACCACCTGAGCCTTGTTCGTCCAATGAATTCAATCTGTGGCACAGTTCAGGTCGGCCTCCAGAAGCCCGAGCTGCCTCAGGTCCTGAGCCATCACTTTCCAATTGTCTAGCCAATGTGCAGCGAAAGTCCACAGCGATTCAAGCGCAAGCTGCGGCGATGCGAATTCTCAGGCTGACTCTTAAAATTCTTCCAGCGTGGACCAAGTCCGCCCAGCCCCAAGCATTCCCAATCAACAGCGCAGTCCACTTGCATGTTAGTCCGGCGCGCCTGTGCGAGCAGCCTCACCTGCACACAAATCTGCACCTGTATTGCGCCTATCTCTGAAGCCTGACCCCACAACTTCCTGCAAGTGCAGGAATGCACTGGTTTGCAGCGATTCGCGGAAGGCAAATTGTGTTTATGACGAAAGAATGAGGAATGCACATAGTGATCACCCAAAGTACCGTTGTGAACGTGCAGCTCAACAATGTGACGTGTCAACGTAATGCCTGTCACTATGATTGGCTGGTTAAGTAATGCATGACTTCACCTACAAGCCCTGCTTTCCAAGCGCAAACTAATATATCAGGATGCACGAGTCATTCTACACAAGTTCAAAAGGAGCAAACCATGGTGTGGAACAGCTGGAAACAAGACCACATCCAGCATAACAACCTGACGAAAGCTAGGAGATCTCCTTGGAGCCTTCCGATTCGTGAGTTGTTTTGTGCTGCAAGCGCATAGCGAAGCACAATGAAAAGCATTGTAGCCCGGCAGATTTTCTCCATAACTCTTGCGGAGGCTTTGGAGCTCTGTTGCTTGTGCAGAACATGATTGGCAATGCCTGATGCAACATCCGATCTGAACGTGTGGGCTGTCATGCACGTTGGCCCCTGGGTCACAGGCCTGTTGCGCGCGCCGGTTCAGCGCCTGGCAATTGATTTTCACCACATGCATTTCGCCCAAAGCCAGAAGCATGGTTCAGCTGTGTTCGCGGTGCCGCGGGTGCTACCAACCAAGTGCTTCACCACGCCTTGCGCTGACCCCACCGTCTTGGGCGCAGGTGCGCCTGGGGCTGCGCTCTTCATAAAGATTGGCCACATAGTTGAGTGGCCAACTTGTGTCGGTTGGAATGAACGAGACTGATGTCCATGTCTTCGATGTCTCGTGCTTGTGGCTGCTATCAGATTTGCGTCTGCGGCTCACGCTGTCGACACAGTCAACCGCGAGGTTCGCTCTGCACGTGCCGCTCCCCCAATACCAGCCTTCTGCGACCTTGGCTGGTGCAGCTGGAGCCGCACCTGCACACGTCTGGGTTCCGGATGCAAGCGTACAATCCTGGGATAGCCTTGGCAAAACAAGTCGAATCGCAGCATTCAATAGGCTGGTCAATAGCAAAGCGGCAAAGCCCCTCTTGGAAGTTGATTTCATCTCTACTCAAGGGTCTGAACAACCCCTCAATTTCGATCCTTGACTGAAGCGACGCATCGCGAATGTTCAGGAAGCCCTCCATCTGCCTGCAGTGGGGGAGCGTCCAGACGCTGGCGCACTGCCTGCGGCGCCTGGATGGGCGGCTTTGAGCGTTCAAACTTTATGTCATGCTGAGCTGTGGAGCCCTGAACATTTTTGCACAGCTTGACAATCGCCATATCGCCCGCTGGAGCTTCTACCCCACCTGGCGAAGAGGCTTTGGCGCTGCTCACCGCGCCTTGCACAAGGCAACGTATTCTCAGGACCAACTATGCCCACAGACAGGATGTTTCAATATGTGACTCTTTTCGGTCTTGCCAGCACAGCTGACGGGGTGTGAAGCATCAGATTTGACTTTCTGGTAGCCTTGTGAAAAAGCAAAGCTTTGCCAAACTGACCGGTCCACTGGTCCACTATTTCATGTGAGTGCCGGTCCAGCGCCGTCCCACAGTCTCATCTGCCTGAAGTCTTCACTGAGCCTGCTGAGCCTGAGCCGCACAGAACGTTATCGGGAAGCCTCGTGCACTCCCGTTTAAATAGTTGGCTTAGTGACTGGGAAAAGAGGGCGCAACAGGCCGTGCTCACTGCAAATGAAGTCCCTCGGCCTCCAGGAGCCGGTGCTGGCAAAGCCGGCGCAGGTGGCCGGCCCACCACTGGCCGGACGACCACTCCAGGAATCCTGGGATGGGACTCAAGCAATTGCATGAACCAAAAAAAACAGCAACCAAATTGCTTTAATATCTTTCGAGCAACGTTCGCTGGGGTGCAGCCGAACCGCCTGCGGGACTCACATGCCGTTGCTCATCTCAACACCAGACGTCTCTCGCGCCTGGAGGCCTGGCCACCGTGCCCATGCCGGGCCTGCACAAGCGAACAGCGCAGGGCTGCCTGGGTATTTCGACAATTGCACACGAACGATGGGAAAAAACACACGCCACATGGCTCGCATCACAGGCTCACAGAAAGAGTGTTCAGCCCGGGTTGCTGAGAGTCCTTGCAACGCATAACAAAAAGAACTGCAACTTCCGAAAACGCGGCAAATGCACAAGACGCAGCTACTCGGATCAGGAAAGGAAGCAAGCTCAGTCTGCAAAGCTTAGCTTAACTCCCCAACTCCGCAGTTTAGAATGTAACGTAAGTGTAAGGGATTGTGTAAGGAGTTTGCATTGGATTCGGTGACAGGGCCTGAGTGGCGGCGCCTTCCCGGGAGCCTGGGCCGATTCGCCCGACAGCGGCTTTCGCATCGGGATGCCGCGAGGAACGCACTGAAGGCCCGCGCCTTAGGTCTGGTCACCGTGCCGGCTCCCAGTGCCTTTGGCGGGCCTCCCATTGCAAGGCGGACAGGGGGGGATTCAACCTGCAAATACGAAGGGTGGAGGATGCTTGTGGCGCGATTGAGAATGGGTGAGGATGGCTGAGTGCGAGTCATAGGGTACAAGAAGTTCTCAAGATGTCCAGTGAAAATATCAAGCCTGCTCTTCAAAGGCTCGGTGGGAACTTGCTGTCCACCTTTCAGAACTCTGTTCTGCAACATATCCCTTCTTAATGCAGCTGGTTCGGCTTCCGGTCAGTCTCAGGGAAAAAGCATTTGAAGCTCTCGTTAGACCTGGGAAACCTGTGGTCCAAGCAAACGGCCCAGTCCTGCGCTGGAAGTTGTGGCAGGCGCCGCCTCATCATGCGAGAGCTAACACGGTACTCGCTCTCGCTCTCTGATATGCGATTGCATCTCCGCATTTCGCTTTCCTTTAGAAGCTCTCACGTCTTAGCCCCACACAGTCCGCGTCGGGGCGCCGCCTCATGACAATTGCCAGAAGAAATGCAAGTGCAAAGACGAAGAGTTGAAGAGCACTCAGCACTGGCTAAGCAATTGCGGTTGGGAAAAGCTGATTCATATTGCCCCCAAATAGTGGGGTCAGCTTCATTTGTGAGTGATCTCACTCTGAGAACAAAAGCACCTCAACACAAGAGCTTGCCAGGTTTGGACATAGGACATGTTGCCTGGATGTGGAGTTAGAAATAAGCAAGAAGCGTGTCACTCGAACCAATAGGTACCCCCTCTTTGGGGTTTAAAGCCTCAACTTCGCTCCCAACGAGCGCTGGGTGTCATGCCTTTCACAGGCGACTTCGAGGCTCCATTGCGCGAGGACGCAGCATCCTGCGCGTCGGTCGAAGCCAACGGCTCTCAAAGCATCCCTATCACGGCAGGGTTTGATTCTTCGCAACGTGAGCTTGCCTTCAGGGCATTAAACTGCTACAAATTCATTGATTCCCTTGAGAGCTGCGCACTTCAGCCCAAAGAGTGCACCCTGGCACTCACGTTGTGCGCCTTCCCCATTCTCAGCCTAAGCTAACAGGCCATTTCGGCAACGCAACCGGCACACGGCCTTGACGATTTCGGTCGCTTTCAGCCCCGTGGTCCACTTCTCTGAGACTCACAAATGCCCGAGGCTCACACCACAAGGTCTCATGAAGGTGCACCCAACTACGCTGAGGGTGCCGGATGTGTTGCTTGCACGCTCAAACAAGTCGGGATCATGTTTATGTTTGTGTCCGAAATTTGATAAAGTGAGATCGCCGCATGGCAATGGGCTTGTGATGGTCAAGATCTGTCATGCTTGTCTTAACTCTGATGCACCAACCCACTGGTCGAGCGATAACAACATGCAAAACATCACCCTCGTGCTTCCATCATTCTACAAGTGAGGCTACCTCTGGCAACTCGTTTCTGGTCACCACATCCTGGCCTTCAAGACACTCCTGCGTCGCTCAGAGAGAAAAAGTCATTCCCAAAATCCATGCTGTACGGAGTGACAACTGACGCAGGTTTTGATTGTTGCTCAAATACTCTTTGGTGCTCCTCACTTGAAATGCAATTTTCATCAAGCTGTGTTTGCCATGAGCGAATCACATCTCTCGTATACATGCCTAGAAGGCTGCAACACATTTTTGTTGATGTCAGCTCTTGATCAATCCCTCCCCATGGAATCCAGGTCACATAATTACTGCACCCAACACGGGACCTCACACGCCGCACACTGACTGGCTCTTACAAGCACACTTGTTTCACGCGCACGAAGCGCTTGGCGATCCATGATACAGGTTAGCCGGCATGCTGGACATGAGGCACGTACTTTAGTGCCTCACATTGCCCTACATTTCACATACACGGCAAGCCTGGCCAGATTGGCCGAGCTGGCTGTGTCTGTGTCATTCTGCGACAGCCTGTACCCTCACTTGGCCATCATCATCTTCACAAACTCCTCGTAATTGATCTGGCCATCGCCGTCCACGTCTGCCTCCCGGATCATCTCATCAACCTCCTCGTCTGTCAGCTTCTCACCGAGGTTGGTCATGACGTGACGCAGCTCTGCGGCACTGATGAAGCCGTTGCCATCACGGTCAAAGACCTTGAAGGCTTCAATCAGCTCCTCTTCTGTGTCGGTGTCCTTCATCTTGCGCGCCATCAGGGACAAGAATTCCGGGAAGTCGATGGTGCCGTTTCCATCTGCATCGACTTCATTGATCATGTCTTGCAGCTCCGCCTCGGTGGGGTTCTGCCCCAACGAGCGCATCACAGTGCCGAGCTCCTTAGTAGTGATCGTGCCATCTCCGTCCTTGTCGAACAGAGAGAAGGCCTCCTTGAACTCCGCGATCTGCTCTTCGGTCAGCTGATCAGCCATGGCTGCAAAGGACTGTGTTGAGGGCCGGAAATCACACGAGCCTGCCAGCTGCGTCGGATGCAGTCTTCAGCTGCACACAGCAAATGATCGTTGACGTTGCTCTCGGCATCCATTTTCGAAGAACAACTTCATTAGGAAAAGGCATTCCTTCTGACAGACGGCGCTTTCTACTGCAGGAAAATCCGTCTCTCAAACACATTCCTACAAGGCTGCAAGAGATGTTGATTGGTGTCGGCACATGATCAGTGCAGCCAATAGTCAGATGCACTACACCCAGCAAGAAAACCACGGGACCTCAAACGCCGCCTTATTTCACGCGCACGAAGCGCTTGGCGATCCATGATACAGGTTAGCCGGCATACTGGACATGAGGCACGTACTTTAGTGCCTCACATTGCCCTACATTTCACATACACGGCAAGCCTGGCCAGATTGGCCGAGCTGGCTGTGTCTGTGTCATTCTGCGACAGCCTGTACCCTCACTTGGCCATCATCATCTTCACAAACTCCTCGTAATTGATCTGGCCATCGCCGTCCACGTCTGCCTCCCGGATCATCTCATCAACCTTTCCTTGATTTTGGATGGAGCAGTAGGGTGCGGCAGCAAGGAGCTGTCCCCTTCCTGCTCGGGTCAGCAGTCACTGTCCTCAGGACTCGCAGTGAGCGCGGTAGCCAGCAGAGATTCTGGCGGCCGCGCGAATGGCAGCGAGCTCCCAAGTCTTGGCCTCTTTGCGGTTAGTAGCCCAGCGCAGCCGAGCAGATCCCGCAAGCAGCCGCTGCATACAGCCATTGGCAGCCCTGTCGGCTGCGTGATTCCAAGCTCGGAGTTGGGCCTCCGTGGCGCGAGGGTGAGGCGCCCAGCCCCTAACAATCTTGCCGTGCGAGGGGACCCACTTGAAGTCGACTCCAATGCCAACCGCTCGAAGTGAGCGGCGGAGCTCGAAGAATCTACGAGCACGCATCTCAATCACATCTCCCTCAAATCCACTAGCAACCCAAATGGCAGCGGTGCAGTCAGACACAATGGTGAGATGCCTGCACATGACAATGCCCTGTGAAGATGCCGCAAACACGGCAGCCAGGGCGGCACGAATCGCCTCAAGCTCTGCACGGAAGGCGCTCTGGTCCTCCCCTTCAACTCCAGCCGCAAAAGCTCTGTCAGAACAAGGTACAAAGATGCCCCACGAAGCGACATGATTCTTGGCAGATCCGTCCGTGGCCAGAAAGAGATTGTCACTTGTCTGCACAAGTTCCGCAATCGCCTGAAGCAATTCTGCCTTCACTCCATGCACCGCAGTGTCCTCAGGGGGCCGTGGCAGCTCATTCACAGCCCTGGCAAAGAGCCGCTCCTCCGCGCGGTTCACAGGGCTGGGAACATCAATTCTGCTCTCTTGGAAGGCAGGGCAGCACCAGACCAAGTGCGGCCTTGAAGGGAAAAGGCTGCCGCAGAGACAGCGCGCCTTGTCATCCTCCCTGCTCAACTTCTTGCCCGCGCTGTTGTGCCAAACCGAAATGCCAGCTGCAAGGGAAGCATACCGAGCATCAAGGTCAGTGCTGCTATGCTCAAAAATCTGGACATGGCCCTGGAAAGTGCAGAAGCTTCCGCGCGGAGGCCCCGGCAAGTCCAAGCCTTGCGCAAGCTCAGCAGCTCCACGACGGTGCTGGCTTTGCCTCGTCCTGCCACAAGAGGTCATCGCCCATCGCCTGTGACAATCAGGAGGATGGCTGGATCATCCAGCCCAACAGCCTCCAACGTGGCGGCCACGGGCCCGGGACCACCGGGAGCGGAGTTCTTGTGGAGATTCAGTCCTTGGCTGTGGGTGCCAAGGCTGCAGCGGGACTTCGACCCCACGGTCGGGCAGAGGATTGGGGAGGCTTCGAATCCAGGGCCGGCAGGGAGTCGGCGCACAAAGAGAATTCGAGCTGAGCGTGATGGTGATGAAGAAGTGGATGGGGTTCAGTCCGACATTGGGATGAGCCTCTTGATGCCCATTGTTGAGAAGGTTGTGACTCAGATCTTCGAGAAGCTGATCGGCACCGGCGGGGGCGGCCTCATGAAGTTGCTCAAGGGCATCATGACGGATTCCCACACCCAGCCAAAGAAGAAGCAGAAGAAGACAAAGACGAGGAGCCGAAGGCCACTGTGGACAGGCCTGCGGCAGGAGCAAGCGCTCCCGAATGAGGGCGGTGATTTGAAGACATGCAGCAAGGGCAAGGGCAAAGGAGAACCATCCCGAAAGGTGAGTTTCGCTGTGCCCGAGAGGGAGTTGATCCAGCCGAGCCAGAAGAAGACGGAGAAGGAGGATGAGGCGGGCGACTGGCAGGAGGTGGCCAAGAAGACGAAGAAGGACGAGGGGCCTTGGAAGCTCCGACAGAAGGACTGGGATGCGGATGTGGTGGACTACAGCGAGGTTGCAGCAAGGCTGGAAAAGGCCACCAGCGTGTTCAAAGGAGTGGTGCAGTGCACTTCCGATCAGGCAACGGCGATTGAGTGCATGCTTCAGCACTCTTCCAAGGTCTATGGCGTCCTGCTGGTTACTTTGGACAATGGCAGTGACTCTCTGCGAGTGCCTGGGGAAGTTGGCGAGAAGTTGATGTTCAAGAAGGCAGTGGTGCGGAAACTGGCGTCTAGTGGGCAGGAGCCGCCTCAGCCAGCCGGGATGAAGCAGGCCAAGCAGACGATCAAAACGCAGCCCACTGTGGTCGTCGCCCTGAAGATTGTGCAGCGCTTTCTTCCGCAGGACAGTTGGTCTACGGCAGTGAAGAGCCCGCAGAGGTACTTCCATAGCTGGCTTGCGCGCCAATCTTTCAAGGCCTTGGACAGCTGGGGGTGGGAAAAGGAGCGCGCTCAGAGCCAGCAGTCCGACCACTTCTTTGGACTGGCCAGGATCTACGAGGCTGACTTGCAGGCAGTGCTGGCCAGGTCTGGGGACGCATCTTTGTGGAGCCCACCAGGCAGTGCACGATGCCCAAGTACAAGGTGGTGTGGTTTGAGCGGAATCAGGGGGAGAATGACCGGACACTACGCGCTTCGGGCTCGCAAGTTTGGGGGCGAGTTTGGCCTCACTCTGGGTTTCAAGCAGATTGGCATCCGTGAGAAGAGAGAGCCCAACGAGCCGTCGACGCGGCTGTGGATTGTGGAAGACGTGCCGCGCACCTGGCACCAAGACCAGGTCCGTGCTGCCTTAGTCGCCGAGTTCTCGGTGGTGGACTTTGTCACTGTGCGCAAGAAGAAGGGAGGCTTTGACTTTTTGTTCAAGGGCACCACAGCTAGCACGCAGGACCTCATCGCAATCCCGGTTGAGGACGACTCAGGCAGCTGGACAATGTGGACTAGATGGGCGCCGCCCCGGAAGTTTGCAGGTGAGACCAAGCAGGTGATCAGAGCCGGTGGGTGGAGCTTGCGGCCGGAGAAGCAGCCGCTGAGCAAGACAGTTGCCGCCTCGGCTCCGGTCCCACCGCCTGATGGAGGCGCTGCGCAGGAACCCGAGGCTGACGCCGCGGCTGCGGGGAAAGGAGTGCAAGGCCAGCAGCATCTCAGAGAAGCTCCAGACCATGCGGGCCCGAAGAAGATCAAAGTTGAGGAGAGGGCCATCCCTGACGGCACCAAGATCAGTGTTGTGGCCGGTGACGGGGATTGCTTGTTTTCTTCGTTTGCTGTGGCGTACGCCAACCTCACCGGGAAGCAGGCCAAGCACAAGGCCACGTTGCGGGCAGAGGTGACCACTCACCTTGCCAAGCATGAGGAGAGATACAAGCAGACCTGGGACGGGATGAGCCCCTGTAACAAAAAGAAGTGTGCGTGGAACGACTACCTGACTGCGATTGCTGCCCCGGGAACATGGGGAGGAGAGATGGAAGCCGCAGCCCTGGCCAGGATGCACAACGTCTGCATCGTGATCGTCCCCAGAGATATCACATGGCCGGCGGTCTGCCTCCACGCGGATGCCCAGAGAACAGTCGCTTTGTGGTGGAATGGCAGTCACTTCGATGCCCTTCTGCCGGAGGACGACAAGATGCCGGCGGAGATCATGGCAGTGAAGCAATCTCCCACCAAGCCCCTCAGAGGAGGAGGCGGGTCCGAGGTGAACTCAGAGGGCACTGTGTGGACACGTGCAGCTTCGTCCCAGCACACGGTCTGGACTTTGGCTGCAGCTGCTAGCCAGCGGCCATGCAGCGGGAACCGGTCGTGCTCGACAGTCTGGAGCGCCGATGAGGCTGCAAGTGGCAAAAAGGCTTCGTCCAAGCGCTTCCGCTTGAACAGCAAGACAGCAGCCAGCGCTGAGGCGGAGCCTGCGTCCCCGGACTGCGGCCAGGACATCGACACTGAGAATGACAAGGAGCCCACCCCACGAGAAAGGTATTGGAGGCGGGGTTCCAGCTTCATACTCGACTCTGGCATTTATGAGTGGAAGTGCCCGCGCTGCCCTTTTGTGTCCAGTGCCGGTTCCGTTGACATTGTCCACAAGCAGAAGCACAGCCACAATGTTTGCTACCACAAAACAAAGCTGAGGTCGGCTACCGCGAGTGTGCCCAGACTGGCCTGATTAGGGCCTTTGCTGCTGCTGACGAGGTAGGGTGGAAGTGCCCCCTGTGCGACTTCGGGATCGAGGCCACCAAACTAAGCGTGGTCAGTGAGTCCGTGGCTGGTGCTGCCAAGAAGAAGCACAGAAAGGATTGCCACCCAACCACCACCATTGCGGCGTGGAGGCGACTTCAGAGCCTGGGCACTCAGCAGGGGAGCGCCTATCGGCAGAGTCAGCGAACCATGATGCTTAACGTAAGCATGGCAAGGGTAGAGAAGGACTTCCTGCAGAGCGGTGGCCATCAGCTGCAAGCCTTCATGTGGCCTGTTGTCAAGTGGAAGTCAAAAGACAAGCCGTCACGGTTGTCAATCCGGCGGGCATGGCGGTGTCGGAAGTGCCTCTGCTGCTTTCGGGACAAGAAGTGCGTCCAGAGAAGCAAAGGCTGCGGTGCCAAGAGGACCGAAAAAGATGTGAAGCGATCCCTTGCTGCGCATGACCAGCACAAGAAGAGGAGTGAGACTTTGAGCAAGAGCGACTGTGGCTTCAACCCGGAGCAGTTGGAGGGCATCTGGGAACAGGCCAGGCGCGCTTTGAGTGGTGCCCCTCTTGACCGCCAGCCATGAAGCCAGTCACCATCGGCACTATGAACGTTGGAAGGGGTGGCGCGGCCAAGGCCAGCAGGGCCTTGGAAGTCATGCAGGATATGCACGTGGACATTTTGGCGCTGCAGGAGGTTGACCTCAATTCCAGCAGTTGCGCCAACTATGTACAGTGGTGGCGCACTAAGGGATTTACTGTGGTGCTTGGCGCCGGCGAGGCTGGCACTGGAATTTGCAGAACGGCACTGATTTCTCGTTTCCCTCTTCGGCAGATCTGTCTGGAAGGAGTGAGTTTTCCCAGTCGGTGCGCGGCAGGCTTGGTTGAATTTAGAGTTAGCCCTCTGGGAATGTACAGAAAGTTTTGATGGCGAGCTTCTACGGCCATGCGGACAACGCCAGGGCGGCAAGCTCCCTGGTGGAAGAAGCGGCGGCCGCTGTAAAGGCACTTGGCTTTAAGTGGATCATCCTCGGCGACTTTAACATGGAGCAGCACGAGCACGGGGTGGGCAACTTGCTGTCCAACGGCAAGGCGTACTCCTTGGACGAGGCCTTCGGCCCGAGCGAGATGTTGCGGCCCACGCGTCCTGCTGGGAAGAGACGGATTGACTACGGCCTCTCTGGGCCAGGCGTTTGGCCAACCGGCATGACTCAATGCCCTGGCCTTGCTGACCACGACATGGTGGTGTACGCCATTGCGGCCTTCTCCGACCTGGGTGGCAGTGTTGGGCCGAGGCGACGCAATTTGGAGGAGACGGACTTGAAGGTCATCCAAAGACAGTGTGAAGCAGAGCTGGCCGTCTCTGCGCTTGACGCAGTCATGGCAGATGAAGATGTTGACCTTGCATGGCAAATCCTTTCCAAAGCCGCGGAAAACGCCTTGGCCAAAGACTACTGCGGCCGCGATGAAACGGTTGGTAGGGCTTGCTTGTGGGCTCCCAAGAAGCTTGGCGGGAGGCAAGGGGCGCACAAGGCGGCCTCCAAAAGCTTCGAGTCATGCAGATTGCGGCGCCTGCGGCGCCTCCAGCGCCAACTCAAGCAGCTGCAGAGACAAGCTGAACTTCGCTCTCTGCGGAATTCGGTTGGCAAGGCGCTGGCAGCCCTGAAGGCTGCCCATGCTGAGTTGGAGGGAGCCTTTGCTTGGAATGCCGAGGCTTTTGCCGAGGCTGTGGACAAGTTGCTTGAGGAGGCTGAGCAGGCGGACGAGGAGCGCCGCGTGCTGGAGTGGCGCGCTGACATGGCCAGCAACACGCAGAAGCAAGCTGCCTGGATCAAGCGCAAAACGGACCAGCAACTGGCTATGTCTGACTCAGGGCTCCCCAGGTCGTTTGCTGAGCAGGCTGTCCACAAGGCAGTGCACCCGGTGCAGAGAATCCTTGAGGCGGAGGCAGAGTGGCTTCACCTGTGGAGGCGCCGGCAGATGTGAGAGAGGGGCCTCGCAAGATCCAGCAGCTCCTGGAGCACGTCGAGCGCCCTCAGCAGCAGGTCTGGCAAATCAACTGGAGTGGAAGCGCTCTGCGCGCATCTGCACAGGAAATGGGCGCCTGCGCGCCAGGCCCTGACGACTGGGAAGCTGAAGATCTTGCAAAGCTCCCGGAGTGCTGGTGGAACGCAGCTGGGCAACTTTGGCAGCTTGTTCTGGCTAGCGGATGCATCCCACAGACTTGGTGTCAAGTGAAGGTCGTGCTCATTCCCAAGCCCGGTGGAGGGGCAAGACCCTTGAGCTTGACCAGCGTGCTCTGGAGGTTGGGCGCCAGGCGCATCGTGCTTTCACTCCGGTCCTGGATTGCAGCTTGGGCTGACCACAGAATTCTTGGAGGGCTGCCGGAAAGAGGAGTTCTTGATGCTCATGCGCGGCTCACGCATGCCATTGACTGCTCTCAGATTCTGGTGTCACAGGATCTTGCCAAATTTTTTGACTCGGTGCAGATCCCCCAGGCTTGTACGGTTATGAACCATTTGCGGGCCCCGACTGAAGTGACAAGGTTGATTCAGGTATTCTACGACCAGTGCCAACGTGTTTTCTCAGACAGAGGCGTGCTTGGAGCCGGCTGGCACACTGTCGGGAGAGGGATTCTGCAAGGTTGTCCCATGTCGCCGCTCATCGCAGCCAGCATCATGCACATTTGGGCCTGCAACGTGTGCAGAGACGGGGTGGACGGCCTGGTTTACCTCGACGATCGCACCTTCTGGGCGAATGGCGACGGCGCCAGCCAGGGTGACCCCTTGCCGGCCTCCTCGTCCTCTGAGCAGCACTTGCGGGTGACTGCTTCCTCCGGTCGGGGGTCCCTGGCAGGCAAGCCGACGCCAATGCTGAAGGTGGCCTTACCAGGCAACAGGCCCTGCGTGCTGGCAAAGCCCGCAGTGATGCGTTTGATAGAGCTTTTGGCTTTCAGTGCAGGCAGTCCAAGTGTAGCGTTGCTGCAGCAACGGTGAGGCTTGGCTTGTTGCCCAAGACTTTGGGTACCAGGCGTCGACCACGTTTGCGGTTTTGGGAGTTGTGCATGACGTGTCTCAACCAACACAGGCTCAGCTGGCAAAGTTGACGTGCGAAAGGTGAGATTACGACTCTTGTTCATTCGACGAGTTGCTGCCAACTTCGTGCAGAGACGGGGCCACATCAGGGCCTTGGTCATCCCCGCGCTCACTTGGGCATGTGGGTTTGCTCAGCTTCAGAAAGACGAGCTTGACACTCTGCGTCAGGATGTTTTGGCGGCCTTCGGGGGCCGCTTGCCGCACGATGTTGCGCCATGCTTGCTGTTAGAAGTCATGGGCTGGTCTCTTGACCCAATTCTTGCGACACGCTGGGCAGCTTTGAGGAATGCCTGCAGATACCATTCTACCTGGCGACCGTGGATGGAAAATAGCGCGCTTGACTTTGTCTGCAAGCGCTGGCCCTCACTGTTTCCGGGAGCAGCGCAGGTACTGCGGGACTGTGAATGGTGGGCTGAAGATGGCGGCAACTTTGTGCGTCGGCGAGACTCGTGGGGCGACAGTCATCTCATCAACCTCCTCGTCTGTCAGCTTCTCACCGAGGTTGGTCATGACGTGACGCAGCTCTGCGGCACTGATGAAGCCGTTGCCATCACGGTCAAAGACCTTGAAGGCTTCAATCAGCTCCTCTTCTGTGTCGGTGTCCTTCATCTTGCGCGCCATCAGGGACAAGAATTCCGGGAAGTCGATGGTGCCGTTTCCATCTGCATCGACTTCATTGATCATGTCTTGCAGCTCCGCCTCGGTGGGGTTCTGCCCCAACGAGCGCATCACAGTGCCGAGCTCCTTAGTAGTGATCGTGCCATCTCCGTCCTTGTCGAACAGAGAGAAGGCCTCCTTGAACTCCGCGATCTGCTCTTCGGTCAGCTGATCAGCCATGGCTGCAAAGGACTGTGTTGAGGGCCGGAAATCACACGAGCCTGCCAGCTGCGTCGGATGCAGTCTTCAGCTGCACACAGCAAATGATCGTTGACGTTGCTCTCGGCATCCATTTTCGAAGAACAACTTCATCAGGATGAGGCATTCCTTCTGACAGACGATGCATTCTGCTTTCCACTTCAGGGCAATCCGTCTCTCAAAGACACTCCTACAAGGTTGCAAGAGATGTGTGGGAACACGCGAACACGCTCCAAGCAATTTTTTTTTTAGGAAACCAGCTCCGCTTTTCGGCGCCGGCTCGCTCACTCAAAAAGAACAATATTTCAAAGCAAACCAAAACACAGTACTTCAAAGCCAAATAAGCTCAGGCGATACCCCCAACAGCACCACACCCTCCCAGAATCCTCGCGGAACACCTCACCGCCGGTTTTGCTGAGGATGCCGCCTTCTAACTTTATAAGCAAAGCTAAGAGTGACATCGCAATCGCGCCCTAATCGGGGCCCGACAACGCAATCGGGGCCCAAGGGCCCGAGCGGGGCCCGACAACGCAATCGGGCCCCGACCAGGGCCCGATGCCCGTGGTGCAGGCGGGCTCCCGCTAATCCTAGCTGCCCATATTATAGCCTTACAAACTGTATTTAGCAAAACTAAGCGACGCCAGCTTGGTACAGTTGACGGGACCAACTGGGTCGGGCCCCGATCGGGGCCCGACGGCGTAATCGGGGCCCGATCGGGCCCCGGTGCAATTGGGCCCCGACAGTGCAATTGGGCCCCTACCTAGGCCTGGTGAACCTCGCAAACCGTCCTCCTACAACTCTCGAAACTTTGTTGGCAGGGCAGCTTTTGCAAAATTGGTGGAAGCCTGGTGGAGCGATTTTGGAACCTTACCCCAAAGCCCTCGCAGCCTCGTGGAACCCTTGAAACCCAAAGCCCACCAAGTAAGTAATACTCATTAATGCCAAGCATTTACTCTGCTGCACACCAACATTTCGGGCCACGTTGTCTGAGAAAAGTGAGCAAGTCAAAACAGTAAACTTGCTTGTAAAACCTTTGATTTCGGTTTTTGCTTAGCGTTCCGCCCATGAGCAAAGCGATCTTCTGAGCTCTGAACTTACTGCTCCAATCATGGCTTTTCAGACGGCGGGAGCGCGACGCAAACCACGGCCACCCTGGAACCGAACCCTGGTGGAACCCTCATGGAACTTTAAAACCGCGTGGAAGGTGGAAACCTTGTCAAACCTTGCCTCAAACCCCCACAGCCCTTGCAGAATCTGGTTGGTTGCAACCCTGGTGAAACCCTGGCGGAGCCTTACCTGGACCACCCGACATGATCAAACCTGTCAGGAAACATTTCCGCCTCAGCAAACCCTGAAGCAGACCCTTAAGGAGAAAATCGACAAGTTTGAACATGCAGCAGGCCAAAAAAAGCGGGCTTCGGTTCGCGCAAAATTGCTGGGGCCGGTCTGGCAAGTCGTTGGACTCAGGCTTTGCCCCAGGCGCCAGCTCGAAGGTCCCTGTCCAGCAGCGTTCCAGAGCGCGTTTCAGCAAGGTCCGACAAGTGCTTCCAAGCTGCGTGAATGCCCAAGCTCTGCGTGATCTACGCAAACTCTACCTCGCTCCAACAGCGCGTAAGCCCAACGCCACAGTGAGGCAGCAATCGGCAACTCTCAGACAACACGCCAGCTCTGCGTGGCAAAGAGCCATGTCCAACAAGTGGTCTGCAACTCCAGAACACTGCGCCAGGCCAAGCGCTTGCTACCGGAATTGTCCAGGACGACCTGTCGTGGCCCACACCCTTCTGCCTCTGCAAGGTCTCAGATCATGGCCTGACTCCTCCCACCACCTCGCATCGGCACACACGGCTCCGCAATTCCCAGACTGCTGTTCAGTCAAGCTGGATAGGTCTTGTTACACGAAGGTCTGTCCATCTGCAGGTTCTTGAACAGCATGCAGCA